TTTGTTGTTAAAATTTGTGATTAGTTTATAGTCAGATTCTGAGGGTTTCTATGCCTCTCATATATTTTACTCTATGACATTGAAAAACAATCTAAATAAAGATGCCTTCAGTATTTTTCTTTGCTTTCAAGAGTCAAATGACTCAATGTTTTCCTTAGGCTAGAGTATTTTAAAACTCTTATTTAATTTTAAGGAAGTTATCTTATTTATGTGTAAATATAGGAAAAGACAGACATAACAACTGGTGAGTAAGTACCTCCAGGTGTATTAAGCAACATTTACCCCCCTCAAAAATGTGCATACTGCCACCTGCTGGGAAGAACTTTTGTACCTTGAAACAGTATTTTTGAAAAAATTTAAGCGTCCGATGATTTTCCCCATAGGTTTGGTTTTTTTGTTTGTTTTTTGTTTTTGGTAGATTTAATTTAAATCACATCTTTCATTCAATTGAAATTTGAAACGTAAGAGTCTTGGAGTCTCTTTTAGGTGAAAACTAAGAAGGAGGTAGATTTATTTCTTGTTCTTTTCATATAGATTATGAAAATACATCCATAGGTCTTTAAAATCTTTTTTTCAGGGATAGATGGAAGGGTGCTAAGCTCCTTTATGTTTTCTAAGGGCAGTTGTGTAGTATTTTTGCTAGATTTGGACAACAACCCTTTGAAGCAGACAGAGCAAGTCCAATTATAATTTGCCAGTGAGAAAACAGAGGCCCGGAGAGATTAAATGACCAGCCCAACGTCACTCAGCTTATCAGTGGAATATTTGGGACAGAATCCAGGTCTTTGAATATCTTATCCCATGGTGCTGATTATTTCTTCAACTCTTATCATATCCTATAGGCCTCTGAGTATAAAAACATTGCATCCTGTTATTAATAAGGCCTAGCAAAATGAAAAGCAGCCAAATTATTAAGTACATTTTAAAGTGAATAATTTATTTTTTTAGACTTTGGAAAGCAAATGATAAGTGACATCCAGTGCTTTGTACTGGACACCTAACGTGTGTTGGTTTGCCATATTGAAAGAATGCTTTCTGCTCTGTATACATATTATTGCTTTATATTTGGTGATTTCTATCCATAACAATTTATGTATGTCCTGTGGCAGTTTCACAAATGTGTGCTGCCCTAGAAGATTCCCTGATTGATTTTTTTTATTTGTTTTGTACCGGATTACCCTGCTGTCTTTTTTTTTTTTTTTTTTAAAGATTTTATTTATTTATTCATGAGAGACGGGAGAGAGAGAGAGAGGCAGAGGGAGGCAGAGGGGAGAAGCAGGCTCCATGCAGGGATCCCAATGTGGGACTGGATCCCGGGCCTCCAGGACCATGCCCTGGGCCGAAGGCAGGCACTAAACCGCTGAGCCATCCAGGGATCCCCACCCTGCTGTCTTATTAGCCTGGCATAATAGTGACTTTTGCTAAACAATACTTTTTGTTTGGTGAATGGTAACTTTGACTTTTAAAAAAGTGTCCTTTTACTCCATCAACTTATCGTATAATATTACCATTGAGAACATGAATTTTGTCCATTAGACTTTCTTGATATTGCACTGATTTTAAGATTTCCCAAGTACAGATGGGTTTACTAATTTAGGGTGACTATTCACTATACTAACTCAACTACTATAAGCTATTTGTCATGGTTTCCCCCTTTCCTTCATTTTAGGATTCTAAGATTTTCTGATGTGTTTCCTACATTTTTAAGTATAGTTGTCGCTGCTACTCTGAGTGGCTGTGTCTCCCTCCTTCCATCATCTGTGCTCTAGAAATTATTTTTTACCTAACTACTTGTCTTTAGTTTAAAATTTTATCATTCATTTATTTTGCATATTTACTAGCATTGCTTTCAGTCTTTTTTTTTTTTTAACATTGAATTCATTTACCTTAAGCTGAGTACATGTGAGCAAAGCCATGCTGCTAATTCAGAACAGCTGCCTTACGAGAAGTCTCTTGGAATGTCTGTGAGTCTCTGGATGAATGTATTAGTGACATGCCTGGCTTCAGACTTTACTTGTATTGGAATTATAGTGTTAGGAATTTCTTATCAGATGCTGAATGCAGAAGAGGAAGGGAATTCAGTCTCCAATTAGGCAGGTGTGGAATAAGATAAGAGAATGTTCCCTGACCAAAAAGGTCAGAGAAAAATCACAGCTTTTTGTACAGCATTCAATCTTTTCTTATATTTACCGGGAATCTACCCCTCTCAGTCTGACCCCATGGTTTTTATTTATTTTCTGTAGATATATGGAATACATTGAGCATCTTTTCCATATGGCAGCTATTAAGTCTTCTCTCTAGGTTTTTCTTTTGTTTCCCATATAATCTGCAATGCCCTTCTCTCCTTCTCACTCATACATTGAGGAGTTTGTTTGCCTGAGTTAAATCTTTTAATTCTTGCACTAGTCCAAAGTGGTAGTATTCTTATTATGCCCATTTGACCGAGGCTAAGAAAGAGACCACACAACAATGAGGGGTTGAACCAGAATGTTTTTTTTTTTAATTTTTATTTATTTATGATAGTCACAGAGAGAGAGAGAGACAGAGACAGAGGCAGAGGCAGAGGCAGAGGCAGAGGGAGAAGCAGGCTCCATGCACCGGGAGCCCGACGTGGGACTCGATCCCGGGTCTCCAGGATCGCGCCCTGGGCCAAAGGCAGGTGCCAGACCGCTGCACCACCCAGGGATCCCTGAACCAGAATGTTAACTGAGACATTGGTGTTTGGTGTTAGGCTCTTGGACATTAAGCCTTCCATTCTTTATGTACATATTTTATAGGCTTCTTGCTTTTTGCTCTTCTCTGGGTACATTCGTATTTGTCAACATCTCTTTTATAAGACATCATGAGCTAAAATTTACTTAGTACTTCAGGTATACCCTGGCCTCCAGAGGGATAGCTTGCTCATGGGCTGCCTGTCTATGCACTTGTGCCATGCAAGGGCACGTTGCAGTTTTTTGTTTTTTTTAACTTGGCTTATTTTGAACGGTTGTTATATTGAATCTTACCATTCTCTGTGTGTGTGGGTATTTGTAAAGTCTATGTGTGTACATGTAAATGCATTTTTCCACTTAAGAGGATTCTACATCTTTTCTTGTCAAACTGCACTTTGTCATCTTAAGTTATACTAGTTTCTGCAGTTCTTTTTTACCTCCATTTTAGCTGTCCTCTTTTTTATTCCATACAAATTTAGTAAGTATACCTTTAGGCTATATTTCAGGCCTTTATTTTTTTAAGGTGTTCTGTGTAATCCCATTAGATTCTTGAAATATTTCAGTTGAGATTTCTTGGTCTGTTTCTTGGTTAGTGTGGTAATTTCCATTTTAATGATTCATGAATTTTGTGGGGGCTTCTTAGAACATTCTATCATTCTTTTTTTTAAATTTTTTATTTATGATAGTCACACACACAGAGAGAGAGAGAGGCAGAGACACAGGCAGAGGGAGAAGCAGGCTCCATGCACCGGGAGCCCGACGTGGGATTCGATCCCGGGTCTCCAGGATCGCGCCCTGGGCCAAAGGCAGGCGCTAAACCGCTGCGCCACCCAGGGATCCCCATTCTATCATTCTTAAGTTAGATTTCTTTATAAAGTCTCTCTATGAGATTATGGTTATCTTTTCTCTATAGGTTTTCCATTTGCTGTACTTAGAGTCCAAATCTCCTGGATCTCAAGTCGAATTTCAGTTTTCCATCCCTCTTTTAGTTATTGTGACAGATGTGGCATCCCTGTCCCTGGGAATAGCAAAGAAGTTTTGTAGTCTAGCCAGATAACTTCACCTTTCCCCTTCCTGTTAGCATTTGCCAACTTAATAAGCAATCTTGACTCACATTGATTTTGCACTAGCTTAATCGGAAGAAACAATGCTGGTCTGCTTTAGGTTCGTATCTGCCAACAACTGACTGTGGGCTTTACACACCAGTTAACCTCTGCTGTCTTCATTTTACTCATCTGTGTAAATCTGTGTTGGACTGTGACCTCTGAGATTGCTTCAATTCTAATATCAACAATTTTAACGCATGCCAAACCACTTTTAGAAGTTTTAGCCTAACTTTAATAATTAAATAAAAAGGAGTGACTCAACTTAGCTTTTCTGAGCTATACCTAAGGGTGATATTCATCTAATATGCACTCATACGGTCACCTTAGTAATTCAAATATTGAAGGACTTATAACACTGTAGGGCTTCTATATAATCATTGTCTCAGCTGCCCCACTTATAGAGTGGAAGCACTAGGAGGGCTACCCACTTGCTGGCCTGCAGATAAACCACCATTGCTCCTGCACACCAACTGCATTTCCATGGGCTCTCCTAACCAGACATAGGACCCTTGGTGGTGACATGAGCCCCCAGACAAATGCCTGCTGACTGTTCTCCTCTACATGGCTATGGCTATGCAAAGGTAGAAGACTCTTTTTTTTTTTTTTAATGAATTTCTTTTCTTCTTCTTCTTCTTTTAGATTTTATTTATTTATTTGACAGAGAGAGAGAGAAATCACAAGCAGGGGGAGTGGCAGGAAGAGGGAGTAGCAGGGACCCACTGAGCAGGGAATCTGATGTGGGGTTCAATCCCAGGACAGTGGGTCATTACCTAAGCCAAAGGCAGACACTTAACTGACTGAGCCACCCAGGCACCCCCAGCTAGTAGACTCTTGCCAGAGTCACCTACTTGCTGTTGCTTTTGATGAATATTATATGTGTATTATAGCACATTGGACTCTTTCTAACACAAACAGTAGTTTAATGAAGCCCTTTTAAGACATATTCTCTGTCGTTTATGATACTGTGGGGTTTGCAAAATCAGCAGTTCACATACCCAAGAATGTTCCAAAGCTAAAGGTAAGTAATTTCATTTCAGAGTTCAGCATAAACAAAATTTAAAAAAAAAAAGTGATTTGACTCCAGTACTTGTGATTACGTGGCTAACCCCTGAAATGTTGTGCAAATCGTGAAATCAAATCATTGTGTCACCTTTCTTTTAGCGATTATCTGCTTTGTTTCCAGGTGAATGAAATTTACCATGATGAGTCCCTTGGAGTGCATATAAATGTGGTCTTGGTGCGCATGATAATGCTGGGTTATGCAAAGGTAAAATATCTTAAAATATGTGATCTCTGGATGTTAAGAACTGGACTAGCAGATGACATTTCTGTTACTCTAGCTAATGTGGCATTGATGTGTCACGCAGACCTAGCTCTTTAGAACTGAGGAAGAGACACTGCCATGATAAGCGTAGATCTCCCCATTGGAACAGATGATGATTTTTGTGCTGATACCATTTGCTTTGCTTATTTATCTAATGGAGTCATAGATCATTATTATTCTGGCTCTAAGCATGACTGAATGAGTGAAAACAAATAGATATCACTGTCAGGAAAGAGAATTTCCTTAGTCTACCATTATCATCAAATTTGTGATTCATTCATTTATTCATTCACAACATCTATGCTGAGTGCTTACTATGTGTCAGATGCTTTCTAGGTGCTTTGACTATATCAGTGAAGAAAAATAGCAAAGATCCTTGTCCTCTTATGGTTTGTTAGAAGCAATATTTTACATATGTCATTCCACTTAAGAAAACTGAAGTATACAGTGAATATTCACTGAGAAGAGCTTCAATCCTTTTGGAAACAAAAAGTTAGATCAAAATGCACATGGTAGGATTTTCATGTGATGTAACTAACTGTAGCTGACTTTACAATGGCAGGGATGTGTCCTTGTCCTTGGAAATAATGAAATGATGACCATGATTTCTTTCTTTGAGAAAGTGACTAACTTGACAATTTTCTTGATATTTAAAATTACAAGCCCCCTGCCATAATTAGCCCCCCTGATTATGAAATACTAATAAAATTATGCATTTAGCAAACAGGAAAAAAATCCGTGTGTTTACATTTCATTATGTATATAACACCCACTTACCATTTTCTGATGAGAAGGTGTCATTGATCTTTACTTTATTCCATAAACCTGACCTAGTTTGTGTTACTAACACTACATACAAGTTAACTCCAGCTGGAGATGTTAACAGCTTTCAACTGGTTGTTATATGATTTGTTTGGAGAAGCATGTGATCAGCATGCACTAAACCAAGCTAATTTTATTCAGAATGTAAACACTAATAACAACATTTACTAAAATGCAACAAAGCTCTCAGCCTGCCAGCCGAGTAGGGACTAATTTTGGGTTCCAAATTCAATTTCTTATTATATCAGAACTGCTCTGGGAAGTATGGATACTGGGTTCTTGAAGGATGGGCCCTTTTCCCTCTGAACTTTTAACTCCTGATCATAATGTGGTAGTAGCAACATTCCAGGCAATGCCAATCCATCTCTTGCAACTGCCGGATAAGAGTGCATCTCCCTCCATCGCTCTGAGGTTTAAAAAAGGGTAGTTGCTTTATTTAGTGTAAAGTTTATGTCATTTGAGCACTTCCTGAAATAAAGATTTGACCAGCTTTGCCAGCTCATTGAAGAATTTATATTCTTCACATTTGTTGATCAATTCTGGGCCAATAAAAATCAAAATCAAAGTAAAAATGAAAATAAAAAAAAATTTTAACTAAAGACCTTTCACTTTAACGGCTCTGGATAAAAGTCTTAACCAGAATCTTTTCCTTTTTTTTTTTTTCTTAATATCTATAAGAAATCCAAGTTGAATTAGGAAATGGACTACTGGAATTCTTAACCCCAGTGATTAACACTGAGTTGCCCCACGATAGCAAATGTCAGTGTTACGTGTTCCTGTAAATGCGTCAGTCACCTTTCACACAGGTAACACTGATCATCATTCAGATATCCTTGGGCATTTAGAATTCCCAAACAAGAGTGGATATATACATGAGCCCTAAATAATGTCATTGAACATTACCTAAATATTATACTCCCAAATGTTGACTTCAGAGAAAGTTATGAAAGGAAGCCTTCGGGAAAGCATTGTGTACTTCTTCAACACACTGTTTCCTCTTAGTCCATCAGCCTCATAGAAAGGGGAAACCCATCCAGAAGCTTGGAGAATGTATGTCGCTGGGCTTGCCAACAACAAAAGTCTGATCCCAACCACTCTGAACACCATGACCATGCAATTTTCTTAACCAGGCAAGATTTTGGACCTGCTGGAATGCAAGGTATTTCCATTAATATGCAGAAGAAAAACTTAAGGGCATGACTTTTCAAAAATAATCCTAAATCAAGGAGTCTGTTCAAATGTTCAGATCCCTACCCTCGCTTTCCACCATGCATCAGCCAAGCATACTCTTTCTTTCTATTGCTCCCAGTGACTTCTGTGGAGTTCACAATGTTAAATGCCACTTAAATGCTGTAACAAATTATACTTGCCTTTAAAATAATGATTGTGCATTTGGAGTCTGGAGGGGATGCTGTAAAATGCAGTGTGATTTCCACTAACTGTTTGGAAGGGGAAAGGAGAAGCCATAAGAAATGATTGCTGCCTAAGAGCTTTCTTCCAAAGTCAGCTTACATTTATCTAATCAATTCTGATGTAGACTTTGGAAAAATGTAGACTGATGAATTTCTTTTCAACGTTGATGGAATTTCTGGCTCCCTTTATCAGTACCATCATAGGAAGGACCATTCACTGAAAACAGAAAGACAAGGCTTTGTTGGTGGGCAGAACAGAATAGTAACCCCAGGCAGTTCCTTCCCTTAGGGAAGGAGAAAACGCAGACCCAATGAATCTTTTTAGAGACCATTACCTGTGTGTGGCTTTCCCAAGAGAATGTGGCACAATGCTAGCAGTGAAATAATACTGCCTCTGTTTCCTGAAAAGCTCCTTTTTTTTTTTTCTAGGCAAAGGTCCAGTAGTAGTTCTTAATGGGCTTTCTCATAAAATGAAAATAAAAGTAATTGTTATTCTCTACAGGATATGCTCCAGTCACAGGCATGTGTCATCCAGTGAGAAGTTGTACCCTGAATCATGAGGATGGTTTTTCATCTGCTTTTGTAGTAGCCCATGAGACTGGCCATGTGTAAGTCACTGTTGACAGTTATAAAGCAAAAAAAAAAAAAAAAAAAAAAAAAAAAGGTCTTTTCTTTCCTGCTTCTCTCAGTATCGTTCACACTTTGGGCAGAGTACATGCCAGCAGGCAATTCTCATTCTTTGCCAAATGTGAGGAGCTGAAAACAGGGAAGAGGTCATGCACGGAAACTAAATAAATGACTCTGGCTTGCCGAGACACCCCTGCATTTTTTGTAGCTCTCAGAAAAGAAAGACATTTCTGTCAGATTGTTCTCTATTTCACAGTTTCTGGGACTCCTCCACAGAAGCCACGTTCATTTATAAAACAGATTCCCCCGAATTTATTTTCAAGAGTGAAATCAAGCAAAATCCATGGCCCCTCTCTTACCAGTGAGGTCTCACTTTGTCTTAGGCTGGGAATGGAGCACGACGGACAAGGCAACAGGTGCGGGGATGAGACTGCTATGGGGAGTGTCATGGCCCCCTTGGTGCAAGCTGCATTTCATCGTTACCACTGGTCCCGGTGCAGTGGCCAAGAACTGAAGAGATACATCCAGTAGGTCCCCTTCTGCATGTTGGAGAGCATTTATATCCTAGCATAATACAGACATGGAGCTGACTTCTAGGACCTCGATCTTTTTTTTTTAATATTTTATTTATTTATTAGAGAGAGATTACAAGCAGGGGGAGGGGGAGAGGGAGAAGCAGTCGACCTGCAGAGCATGGAGCCCCATGTGGAGCTCCATCCCTGGACGCTGGGATCATGACCTGAGCTGAAGGCAGATGCTTTACTGACTGAGCCACCCAAGCACCCCTAGGATCTTGATCTTAACAAAACTCCCAGTGAATGAAAGTTGTTGCTCATTGTAAACACTTTCTTATGACTCACAGCTTTCCGCACAATGATCCCATAATGCAATCACAATATTTTAAGCCATAAACCTAGAATTTAAGAGAATTTTTAACCATGGTCTCCTTTTAGTAAATTCCTTATGGAATCTTTGACTGATGATCAAACTTGAGTTGGTGATGAGGAGAGAGAGGATGATCATGTGATGCCTGCGTAGTGTGCCACACGTACCCTGTAGCATAAATGCTGAGATCTGTGCCACCACACCATGTGGGAGTTCAGCTGGGGACGTGAATAGGGCTGTCACAATTCTACTGTATTCCTGAGTCATGTTTGACTTATTTTTCTGGGTTGAATAAGGATGATGAGTCTTTTTCTAAAAGGAAGTGAAACGAACAACCTTAAAAGGCATTACTTTGTGATCTTGCTATATAATCTGATGAAATTCCAGAGTACGTAACCTAAGAGTATGTAACCACATTAGGATGTGGTTTAAAAAATGAACAGTTTAATGACATGAAATATTTTCCTCTCTACAGTTCCTATGACTGTCTCCTTGATGACCCATTTGAACATGATTGGCCCAAACTCCCCGAACTTCCTGGAATCAATTACTCTATGGATGAGCAATGTCGTTTTGACTTTGGGGTTGGTTATAAAATGTGCACTGCGGTATGTTACAACCAAGTGAGATTTTGCGTCTTGAACTCTTTTTTGCATAGCTCCTGTTTGGTGAGCTTTACAGACTACTGGAGCAAGCATAAAAATATCTATCAATGATTTTGTGTTTGCTATGTCACTATGTGCTGAAGTTAAGAGCTTCGATAATAAAGTTAAATATTATTTAATCCTTGTAACAGACTAGATGGGAGCTGGTACATTTTTATTCTGCAGATGAAAAAACCAAGACTTACATAAATTAAGCAGTTTGCCTAAAGCACACATCTGGTCAATAAGGGAGCTGGATATTGAAACTAAGATATTCAGACTCTAAAGCTTTATGCTCTGTTGTTCCCTTAGTTTTTACGACCTTCAGAGATGACTTCTAAGCATTCAATAGGTTGCTTTTCATTAGTTTGTTGGCCAGGATTTCATGTAGCTGTGACCGTAGGGAAGGGTTGTACTGGTATATCCTCATGTGAGAGTCATATGGTATAGCATGAAGGTCAGGAATATGGGTCTCATACTCAGACTAGGTGGGTTGTCAGAATCTGGATCTCCTACTTACCGGATCTATGACTTTGAGCCCTTAATTCAATCTCTCTTCATTTTCATGGGTGTAAAATGTGGATAACGATAATATTTATCTCATAGAATTGGTATCAGGATTAAATTTGATAGTAATTAAAGCCTCTAGCACAATGCAGGCGCATAGTAAATGGAGTCCAGTGAAGCCAATCCTCCATGTGGCTGTGCACATTATGGGTATGTTCACTAAATTTCTGCATTAAGCTTTATTAGTTCATAAATATAAGGGAAGAAAGGAGGGGCTTTTGATATGTTGGACCAAGCTTTGTGTGTTAGAGTGAGAAAAGTAAGTATTTCATGGTACTGGAAAGAAGTCGATCTGCTGTTTGAAATCTTCCATATAGAGCTATCTACAGCCATTTGGTCTACGTATAAGGTATACACTGTCAGCTCCTATTACCTGCATTAATACTTTGGACCTGAGAATTCTAAAGCTTTGGCTCAATATCATGGATAAATACAATTTCTGCATTAAGTAGTAGGAATTAGAACAAAAATACCTAGGTCCAAAATGAGTACCAATTTAAAAAAAAAAATAAAAGCCCTGACTCTCTATGGGTAATTAGTGCTATAAGCAATGAATATGTGGAGAAATTGGTGTTTGTTTAAATCTAGAGAATGGGAAGATGTTTCTAGTTACAAAGAGATCAGACGAGTAAAGACCACACAGAAATATGTGCGCTTTCACATGCATTTGGAGATCATAATGTGGTGTTTTAGGAAGACAAAAAAACATTCTTACAAGTGAGAATACTAAGATTCTGGTCTGGCTATTATTATCTCATGTATATCTATAACTAAAGCTTTACCTTATATCTCATATTATCATCATGGATTGTTTTGAGAATTAAATATATAGAAAGTACACTGTAAACTACTTGAACACACCTAGAATACTTTATCTCACAAACCAAGCCTTACAAATATTTTCTGCTTTTAGTCAGTTCAGTATTATTTATGATCCAACTAGTTCGTATCTACAGGGATAAAGAGAACCTTTTTGATAGCTTAAGAACTGTAAAACCATCATAATAAGCTTTCATATTTAAAATGGTCATAATACAAATTCTTTAAAATTCCCATATTGTCTGTTTGAAAACCATAAAATAGTATGCAGAAATGTTAAAGTCAACCAGAGAATTGCAGACAAATCATTGTTTATTATTTATATTTTAGAAAAACAGAATAAAAATATTCTTTCCCTGGAATTCTCAGGCAATATATATATTTTTTTTCTCATCATGCCACAACTATGACTATTAATTTGAATTTAAAGTACCCAAGGAACATGACATGCGGAATGTTGGACAGATGTTGGTATGACATGTCATCTGTATTTCATTGAGATCTTGATTCTCTCTCTTCCAGTTCCGAACATTTGACCCATGTAAACAGCTGTGGTGTAGCCATCCTGATAATCCCTACTTTTGTAAGACAAAAAAGGGACCCCCACTTGATGGGACTGAATGTGCTGCTGGAAAAGTGAGTGTATCTGTTTATACAATGAAGATCTAAGATACATTTCATCATAATGATCTTTAGAAACCTGGAAAATTATGACCCTTGCTGTAGTCATTTTTGTACAAACCATGGTGTATGGGGTTTCATTATGATAATGCACTAGCATGGTTTCCTAGGGCTTCCATAACAAATTGCCACAACGTTAGTTCCTTAAAATAACAGAAATGTTATTCTCTCATAGTTTTAAAAGCCAGAAGTCTAAAATCAGTTTCACTGAGCCAAAATCGATGTGTGGACAGGACCATACTCTCTCCAGAGGCTCTAGGGAAGGATCTGTTCTTGGGTCTTCCAGCTTCTGGTGGCGGCCTGCATTCCTCAATTTGTGGCTGCACCATTCTAATTTCTGCTTCCCCGGCCACACTATCCCCTTTTCTGTGTACAAATTTCCCTTTGCCCCTCTCTTATAAGAATACACATGCTGTGCTGGCAGTCAGGGCCCACCTGGATAATCCAGGATAATCTCTCCATCTCCAAATCCTTAACCACATCACATCTGCAAAGACCATTTTCCAAATAAGGACATTCACAGATTTCAAGGATTAGGACCTACCCCCTTTGAGGCCACTGTTCGGCCACTACTGATAGAATAGGAAGCAGCAGCTCAGCAGAATATCTGAGCCCCTGCTAATGGAATTTGATTTGCTTGCTGGCGTCCCGTCCCACACCTTGTGAAAGTTGTCCAGAAATAAAGTCATGTGAATTTATACAGAAGATTTGGCCTTGCTCCTTGGGGAAAGATGCCCAGAGGTTTTAAATCTCAAATTGTGTAGTCAAGACTGAATGCTCAGAAACTGGCCAGGGGCCAAGCTACACTACTCAGGAGGGGAAAGATCACCAAATCCAAAACAAAGGCATGTTAAGAACTCAAGGTGAAGAGCCTTGACTAGTTTGGAAATAAGATATTGTAGATAGGACCAAAAGCTGGCAAGGAAGATTTACATAGCTTTTAGTTCTTTTAAAACCCACATAAAGCTCTATTTCAAATGTGTATGAACTGTATTTGCTCTGAGAATTGCAAGCATAGTAATAATAAAAATAGTAAAATCTGCCATTATTTTGTGCTTAAACTTTGTTAGGTATTATGCTAAACGCATTACATATGGTGTGTTGCTTTTGCAAAATTCAATGTTACAGACTTTTAACCAAAAAAACAAGAGCAACAATGAGTTGATTCATTTTTGCTTTATGAAAAATATATCCTGTGAATCAACTCCAAACATCCAACTTTTCTTAATATATTTGTGTTATATTTAAATTTACCAAATTTGAGTTTTAAGAAACATCTTATTGTGTGTAGGACAAAAAAAGCAAGTCAAAATGTTGAAAGGGAGAAGAGCTAATACCTGTCGAGCACCTGCTGTGTGCTGGGATACTGTAAGCTAGGTGCCTCTGTAGTATCAAGGTTCAGTGGTTTCCACTTAATTATTTCCTGGTCAGTCGGTCTTCTCCTCCTCATGATCCTTTCTGGGCCACAATATCCCTCATCTAAAATATAAAGATAACAAATGGATTATCTATCTCTCAGAATCATTGTGAATGAAAATTTTGAAACGTATTCAAGTGTTTTGAACACTAAAGACGTTTTAGGTATGTCAATTCGAAACTTAAGGTATATATTTTTCTGTTACTGTGATAAAGGGGAGCATGTTACCCTTAGAAATACCTGATAATTTAGCTAATGAGGGATGAATTGTAGAGTAGTACCTGCTATGCAGGTTGGGTCCCCAGATCATCCTTACTGGTTTTATTTGATATTCATTGTAAATGTACATTTAAAAACCTGAGTGAATGGGTTTTGTTTTGTTTTTTTTCATTTTATCCTTAAAAAATGTAAGTCTAAATTATCCTACGTGGGGCACCTTGTTACAATTGTGCTGGGTTAATTTTAAATGCATTTTTACCTGGGGCCGAGAAAAAAAATACAGGCCTTTAACTGGTGGTACTCATATGATAACTTGAGCTTTAGTCTATGCATGGTTTTCATAATTGCCTTTTGTCATTTTCCTAAGTGGTGCTATAAGGGTCACTGCATGTGGAAGAATGCTAATCAACAAAAACAAGATGGCAATTGGGGATCATGGACCAAATTTGGCTCCTGTTCCCGGACGTGCGGAACTGGTGTCCGTTTCAGAACACGCCAGTGTAATAATCCCATGTGAGTAAACTCTTGTAATTCTATGGTTTTTGGATAGACCAGAAAATGCTTCAATATTATGTTTATTAACGTTCTGTTTTGTGAAGTACATGTAAAAACGTGTACTTCAAAACAGGAAAACTGAGGATTCAGGTGTCTATTTTGGGTAAATCTCCATTGATCCATCTTGTGAGGAGTAGTCAATGGTGAAGATGAGAGGCTCCATTGAAGACTGGAGATTTTTGAAGCAGTTGCTATTTAGAGATTTCAGGAGCTGGGCAGGGAGAGCCCCGCCTGTGCAGGGAAGGCCTGGGTCCCAGGCTGTGAGGGCCACTGCGGGAAGCACAGGGCACCACTCCAGGGAGCAGCACCAGCCAGGGGCTCACTCAGTCTGGGGTCAGGAGAGCAATGCAGCAGAGCCTGGCCACAGAAAGATGGTGAAAGAAGACCAGGGAACCGCGAGGAACAGTTCTCCATTCATTCATTCAGACTAAATGGATTGAATCCCTTTTGCGTGCGCAGCAAAAATTTAGGACTTTCTTTCTGCTCTGGGATTTACCATGTGGGAAAAGTGCTTTCTTCAGTTTCTGGCAGCAGGATGGCTCCGAGAAAGTTTTTCATAAAGAATATCCAATGTCACATACCTGTTTTCACAGGAGGAAGTATTAGTGGAAGTAACAAAAACAATAAAAATTATAATAAGAGCAGCTAAGGCTCACTCTGAGCCATGTTCTGTTCTAAGTATCTTAAATATGTTAGTTTATTCAGTTCTCTCCATTTTTCTCTAAGGGAGATGAGATTATTTTTCACATTCTACATGTGAGAAAACTAAGAGGTAGGATTGTGATCAAATTTCTTTGGGCTCCGTCTATGTGTTTTTATGCATGGTAAGAAATATAGTTTTTCTCAGTCCCTACATGTTTTTTAAAATGGCTTTATATACTTTCCTCATGCATTCAAAATATACTGTTTGAAGTGCTGATATAAATTGAGTTTTTGAGGGATCCCTGGGTGGCGCAGCGGTTTGGCGCCTGCCTCTGGCCCAGGGCGCGATCCTGGAGACCCGGGATCGAATCCCACGTCGGGCTCCCGGTGCATGGAGCCTGCTTCTCCCTCTGCCTGTGTCTCTGCCTCTCTCCCTCCCTCTCTCTCTCTCTCTCTCTCTCTCTCTCTCTCTCTCTCTGTGACTATCATAAAAAAAAAAAAATTAAATTGAGTTTTTGGTCCCCTCCACCCTCACCCCATTCCAGACACACACACACACACACATACACACACACACACACACAGGGAGAAGATGGTGCTTTCCAAAGGGAATGGAATTAGGAAGATTGGGTTCATTCACTTTGTACCCGCAGCTCAGAAGCCCTGGCTTTCTGCCTCCCAGCACTATGCCTGCAAGTTTCAACTGCTGGACCAGAGCCAAAGGGTCTTTTTCAATGTTTTCTTTTCTTTAGGCCCATCAACGGTGGTCAGGATTGTCCTGGTGTTAATTTTGAGTACCAGCTTTGTAATACAGAAGAATGCCCAAAACACTTTGAGGACTTCAGAGCACAGCAGTGCCAACAGCGTAACTCCCACTTCGAATACCAGAATACCAAACACCACTGGCTACCATACGAGCATCCCGACTGTGAGTAGATGCTCGCTGTCCTTCCCGCTGTGTGGATGGTGACTTAGAGTTTAAGCCTTGTCAACACCAATCCCTTGGACTCTCGGTCCTTACTTGGTAAAGTAGAAAACTTGGTGTGTACAGGGGTAAGTCTTGCTGGGTTTCCAAGAACAAGGCTAACGTAGTCCCTTCTCTAGAGAGGTCAGAATTGTGGGCTAGCTCCCAGCCAGCAGCATTCCCACCATCACTACTGAAAGGACCAGTGGAAAGTAGCCCATGGGAGACGTGTTGAGTTTCCTCGCCTGACTGTCATCCCTCTACTAGGAAACGCTCTGGAATACTGTGATCTTTCCTTTCCGAATAACAAGAGAAAAAGCACAATTCTTTTACAGCTGACTCAGAAACAAGAAAGAGATCATGACTTAAGAACAGAAGGCACATCATAACTTTTTACTTTTGTACTGTACACTGGTTATTAGAAAATAACACTTGGAAATTCCCTTTTAGTGTTTCACTTCATACCCCTGAATTTTTGGTTAAATATGTCCAAATGGGAACGTCTGGCCATACCTCATATTTGGGCGGCTGAAACAAAATAGTGACATGATTACCGTATAACACAACACACTAATGAGTTCAGTTTAAAAGCTGTTTTAAAGGGAAGATACAGCCACATAGGCATTCTGAGTTGCAATGCACTAAGAAGAAATGCATTATTTTTTATCTGTGAAGCAAGTCACATAAGTTATATTAAATTTAATTAATGAAGTCCTACAGGAAGCATAAACCATACTCAGTCATTGGGTCAAACAAAAGAGAAAGCCTTTTAGTTCTCTAAGTGTCACTAAAACGAAATTGGTCCTGAATTAAATTTTATTGAAGAGCTGTGGTTAACTCCAGGGTTGCCATACAACCGGTTTGCCTGGGACAGTCCCCCAATTACAATTCCTGTGTAATTATTAATGCAGCCAATTTTCACTCTCAGTGAAACTCTCAGTTTCACAGTGTAGACCAGTCATATGCCAAATATCAATCCTTTTCCACTACTTTTTTTATTGATTTGTACAATGTTTTGTTTTCAGGAAACCATGCTGAAACTTTATATTTTAAAAATAACTACTATGCAAATGTGCCACTTTATGTCCATTGTCCGTTTAATCTTCCATCTTTTGCAGCCAAGAAAAGATGCCACCTTTACTGCCAGTCCAGAGAGACTGGCGATGTGGTGTACATGAAACAGCTGGTGCACGATGGAACTCACTGCTCTTACAAAGACCCTTACAGCATATGTGTGCGGGGAGAGTGTGTGGTGAGTTCTCATGGCTTCCCTGGAAGCTTCTTTTTTTTTTTTTTTTTTAAATTTTTATTTATTTATGATAGTCACAGAGAGAGAGAGAGAGAGAGAGAGAGAGGCAGAGACACAGGCAGAGGGAGAAGCAGGCTTCATGCACCAGGAGCCCGACGTGGGATTCGATCCCGGGTCTCCAGGATCGCGCCCTGGGCCAAAGGCAAGCACCAAACCGCTGCGCCACCCGGGGATCCCTCCCTGGAAGCTTCTGATGCTGTTGTGCAATTCAGCTTTTACTGTCATTCGTCTGCATGTTTTTGTAGGAGCTTAACCCTGCCTTATCTGGAAAATCACATTAAAATGAGAATCCAGGACTAGTTGAGTAGGCCTAAACTCAATGTGGGAGAAATTTCACATTTCATATCAACGTTTGGCCATATGCAGAATCAAGATTTATATATGGTTTCCCTCATTTTCCAGCCAAGTGCCTTTTCTAAGTTACTCTGATACCTCCAGGTTGGGGGTACAACAGCTGGGGATGTACAGTGGCTTTGCTTTGAGGATTTTATGAGGAGTCATCTACTTTTACACTACAGAGGCTTTTCCCCAAATGCAATGCTAAATGTATTTTTTATTTAAAAAAATAATAGAAATTCTCTCTCTCTTACTTTCCAGTTGATTCTAAGTTTAAACACTGAATTCCACCTCAGAACAGAAAGGGCAAAGATGCAAAAACTGGGTTTTACCCCATTTAGATCTAAAAAAAAAAAAAAGCCAATTGTCTTTCTTGTTCGTGTTCACAAGCTGAATTGACAGGAGACCAGCCCTAGTAACTGAACACATCACCCCTGTCTGTTTGGCCTTTGCCTCAGCACAACTCGAGTGTTGCAGTAAGAAATCTCAAGTACGCAGATACCTCACATTTGAAATGACTTCTCCCTGGCCGGAGCCTCTGACTCTTGTCCATGTCTCACTCCGAGGTATCTGGGGCCTCATGCATGTGCTCCGCGGCGGCTCTGCCACTTTCCAGTCCGAGCTTAGGAGTGTGGTGGCCTCGCACGGACCCTTCCCCCCACTGGTGGACGTGAAGGGGCCCAGCTCAGTTCAGAAGACCTTCAGCGGTTCCTTGTTAAATCCATGTGAAAATACTGACTCCACCTGATACTCGAGGCCTTTCGGGCCTGGGCCGTGCACGTCCCTCCCTGCTCCGCCTGGGTGCACAATGCTAGCTCCGTGGGCTGCGCCATGGGCTCCGCTGTGGCTCACGTGTTGCTCTCTGAACCCAGCTGCCTGAGCCTACCACGTCCATGGTTCTGTGTTTATCCCTTTGCATTTTTGAAGTGCCTTTCTACAGGGCCCAAGGGAAATGCAGCGCTTTGTAAAGTTGTTTTGCGCTTTTTTAGGTTCAGAGGTAGAGTTTAGTGATTCATCAGTTTGTTTTATTTTTAAAGATTTTATTTTATTTATTCATGGGAGACACAGAGACAGGCAGAGACATAGGCAGAGGGAGAAGCAGGCTCCTTGCGGGGAGCCCAATGTGGGACTCGATCCCAGGACTCTTGGATCATGACCTGAGCCAAAGGCAGATGCTCAACCACGGAGCCACCCAGGTGTCCCAGTGATTCATCAGTTGCATATAACACCCAGTGCTCATTCCATCATGTGCCCTCCTGAATGCTCATCACCCAGTTACCCCATCCCCCTGCCTCTCTGCCCTCCAGCAACCTTCAGTCTGTTTGTTTCCTAGAGTTAAGAGTCTCTTATGGTTTGTCTCCCTCTCTGATTTCATCTTACTTTATTTTTGTTTCATGAAATTTTGTTTTGCATCACTAGCCAGCTTGTAAAGCTTGTGCTAATGCCCAGCTCACCACTTTATTATCTATCTTTTGAAATAGGAAAGCAACAAGGGAAAAAGTCCATCTTAGTTTTTGTCTTCTCAGCATCAACAACAGTATCTGTGCTTAATAAATGTTTGATGGGTCATGACTGTGTGCAATGGGGTAAATAGTTCATCAGACTGGGGAAATTTATCCTAGGGTAGAATTTAACCTAGAGTATAAGTCATTTGACTGCATGGTTGTTCTTCAAAAAGACAGGCATTAAAAAAAATCAGAACTAAAGTCAAGGTTTGGTGCACGCTGCCTCACAGTGGGCTCACGATGAAACAGATGGGTTGCCCTTGTCTCGGATACTGACCTTGACTTGACACGTTAAGATTAGCCACATTTAACATCTTCTCTTTCCAGAAAGTGGGCTGTGATAAAGAAATCGGTTCTACTAAAGTGGAGGATAAGTGTGGCGTCTGTGGAGGAGATAATTCTCATTGTCGAACAGTAAAGGGGACTTTTACCAGAACTCCCAGGAAGCTTGGTAAGATGAGGTCTCTCCTGAGTTTGGTATCATTCCCTATGATTTGTACTTTTTGAGACTCCTTTTAGCAATGTAGCATTTTCTCTATAAATATAACAAAAAATTAGCTGCTGATTTGTTTTTATTCAGATTACCTTTTGTCTTTTTTTTTTTTTAAGATTTTATTTATTTATTTGAGAGAGAGAGGGAGAGCACGCACGAGAGAGAAACAGAGCAAGCACCAGCACAGGGAGAGGCAGAGGGAGAGTGAGAAGCAAACTCCCCACTCAGTGGGGAGCCTGACGTGAGGCTCTGATCCCAGGACCCCAGGATCATGACCTGAGCTGAAGGCAGGCACTTAACCAACTGAACCACCCAGGTGCCCCCAAATTACCTTTTAAGGAAATAAAAACCAAACCAAAAACACTTGGACTGAAATCATATTCCATAGCACCTATGATGAAAAATCATCTAGTAAATTAGATAAGGAACAAATCAAATCAAATCAATTTTAGTAGTTAGCTAAAATCTGTGTTTTGTTTTATTTTATTTTATTTATTAATTTATTTATTTATTGGGAGAGAGAAAGCAAGCGTGGAGGCGGGGAGGGGGAGAGGGACAAGGAGAAAGAGAATCCCAAGAAGATTCCCCATTCAGTGTGATGCCCAACACAGGGCTTGATCTCTGGATCCCTGAGATCTTGACTTGAGCAGAAAGCAAAAGTCAGACACTTAACCAATGGAGCCACCCAGGTGCCCCCCATTTTGTTTTTAATAAAACACATTAGACCTAATTACTAGAATTGATGCCTTTTTTACATTTTATGTTCACATAAATTGTTGATCAGAAGTTAAAAAAATCACAAAATTTTAAATACAACTTGTAAAATATTGCATTCATTTGGCTTCTTTTAAAGTTGAACAAGTTTATCCTATTTATAAATCTACAAATCTAGAGCCCATATTTCATGTAATTTTAGAAGTTTTATATTACACAAAATTGAAGTACAACGAAAAACAACCCTGAGGTATAACTGCTTGTCTGTGTGAATGTTAGTGTTTATTTAAGAGTCAGTGACCTGGATGGACTTAGGCATACAGTGAAGTTTCAGATGGGAAAAAAAAAGCACAAATAATATGTAAAACATGAATACTTTCTTAATTATTCACTGGAATTATTGTAAGAGATTTGGATACAAACATTTATTACTGAATGATCTTTTTAGTTTGTAACAAATATTATTTAGTTATTCAATAAGCATTTCTAAGGAAAGTGTCCCTGGGAATTCAGCATTTAAAGATAAATTTGATGTGGTGCTTCCCTTGAGAAGCTTCTCTTACATCATCCCTACATAGTTGGTAGAGTCTCCAGTAGAATAATTAAAACAAAAATTAAAATAATAAATGTGATTCACTTTGAGCACATTGTCATGGCAGTGATTTTCCCCTTTAGAAGAAGAGAAAGCATAAGAAAGGTAGTCTTCAGTATTTCTCTCAGTTCTTTGCACTCTCATTATACCTCAGCTGCCCCAGTGCAAGCCAGGTGCACACCTGTCTTGCTCTTTGATACACTTAGTGGGGCAGAGCTAGGTCACTCCAAAGTGTCTTTCATTACTGATATTTTTTATATTCCGTGTGATCAGTCAATGGTTAAACAGTTAAAAAAAAGCAAATATTGCTATTTCTGGCTGATTATATTATTTTAGGAAAGTACACAGAATTAAAATGATATATTATGGTTTTGGTGGAGTAACATAATTTCCTTTTATCTTATTGTGAAGCAATGAAGTGTACTTTCTCTGTGGCAGCTATGTTATTCTTTTTGGTATAAAATTATTCTTATTATTTTATTTCCAGGGTAAATGAATGTAAAGAAAAAAGTTCTTGCCATTAATCATTCATCTGTTAATCATCCATTCTCTGGTCTGAGGTCATAATGCATTTTTTTTCCAGATACCTCAAAAATTAGACTAAACCTTCAAATCAAGATCAGAAGAAAGATTTTCATCAGGCATACAGATTCAGCCTATTCAGAGATAATCTAACATCCATTTCTTTGCACTAATGTTGTCATTGTAGTCACTCAATAGACTAATTAACGTTTTCCAACAGGGAAACATTTAAGCAAGAGGTGCCATACAGAATTCAAGTTGCTGGAAAATGAAATCTGCAAGTATTCAACTTCCAATCACCTTTATCATTTCTCATTCAGTCTTAGTCTTACTTTCATTGACTATTAACTGTTTATTGGCATTAGCTAACTATTAAAAATGCATTTTGACTTCAATACATAAAACCACAGAACATAGCTGATATCCTACCTAATAGAATATATATAGCTTATAGTGTAGTCAATGAAACAACAAGACTTTGATAAACATGAAACTTTCACTAATTAAAAACATTCTATCTAAGGGAAGACAAGAGGCGCCTTCATTTTACCCAAAGGAGCTCGTAGTATTTCTCTTGCTGAAACAAGGGAAGCTAAAAATGTACTGGGTAAGTTGTAGCAAACTGCAGAAAGATGGGCATCCATCAATGGCATCAAGCTGTTTTGCTGTATTTGGTGGGCATCTTAAATACATTACTTCTAGCCACTGCATACTCAGACAAACAGGCTACAGTTCACGGGCTTTACCCAAGGCTCAGGTACTGAAAACTCTGACCCTAGCATGACTATGCCATTGAGTTAAAACAGTAATAAATATTGTGAAAAAAGTTGAGTAAATCTACCCATAGGTAGATATTTATTGTCCATATAGAAATAAACATATTTCTTTCTGGTAACATCAGCAATTGTGTATTTATAACTGAATTTCTGTCAGGCTCCTCCTGTAGTATGTGAATTAGATGTTTCATAATGTAAGGTGTCAGTTGCATAATCTCCCTGTATTAATTTATATTTCCTGGACATAGCATCTTGATTTCTACTTCTCCTATTGTTGATTTATAGTTGGGATATTAATTCTGAGTGATCTTAAGATAATTTTTAGGATGGATAATATTAAGATTTGTTTTATATGACGTAGATTATAAAAGGATTGGTAGAAAATTTTGTAGGTCAACGCAATCCATTAAGCATATTGATTTCATGATTCCTGGATTAGAAGATTGAGTGTAGGGCACATTTTTATGGCAATGTATGACATACCTTGCAGGCGTTTTCCAACCAAATAGTTTGGTCAAATCTAGAAAATATATTTTAAGACTTTCCCATAATAAAACTTGTTCAAGGCTTTAAAACTAATGGCTGATGATAAGAAAAATGAAAGCCACTCACTGATCTTTCTTTTGTAATTTCTTTAGAACAAAGCAGGCTTTTACATATGAGGATGTTTCATTAACTGAAAGTTTAGCTATCTATACTTGCCCTTGAGCTTTTAAAATAACATATAGACAGATAAAATATCGCCAGAAGTTCATCAACTGTGGACATCAGAGGTTGGCCGCAATTCAAAATGGTGGTTTAGAAAACTAAAATAGCATAATGAACAAACTTTGATGAATCCCTGTGTTATACACCTGAAACTAATGTAACATCGTGTGTGTCAACAATATCCAAATAAAAATAAATGAATAAATGAAGGAAGGAAGGAAGGAACAAATAAATTTAACAACAAAAAACCTAAAATTACATAGAGGGACAAAGGAGAGCACAGTATTTGCCTGAATTGTTGACACAATTCACAGTTCAATATAAGATAAATGATGGATCGGTTAGAAATAAGATTAACTCCGCCCTTCCTTAATACTAAAAAAAAAAAAAAAAAGGTTTCCTCTAATCTCATGCCATTCATCACAAAATCACAAAATCTACCAATGCTTTGAAGTTAATTTCTGAAACGGCTTCTTGGAGTTTATGGATGCCCTCTTCTGCGTGCAGGAGCAGTAAGAATTTCATGCTCGGCTAACCATGGTTGTTGCTTTTGTTTTCTTCTTTTGCTTTCTCCAATATTTACTACACATGCAAAGGGTACCTTAAGATGTTTGATATACCCCCTGGTGCTAGACATGTGTTAATCCAAGAAGACGAGGCTTCCCCTCATATTCTTGGTAAGTGTTTCTGTCTGCCAGCTTTGCTCTAGCATGCCCTTAGAGAAACATCAAAGCAATCATATATATAAAAATATATATGTGTTTAGATGTCTGTGTATATATGTATATGTATGTATATACATAGATATGCAAGATTCAGAATTACATGTAAGTGCATTACTGTGTGTTCTTTGTTGATCATTTCTCCCCACTCTCCTTTCTTTAAAACAAAAAAATATTCAAAAATAGAGCTTCAATTTTTGGTGAAACCTGGGTTGGTTCATCATTTATATGAAGAAAAGGGTATCTAATGAGTTTGTTATGTGCTTTTGCTCTGTATTAGGGGATGAGAAAAATAAAGTTGCCAATAAAATGCACTAAATTAAGGAAGAATATCAGAAAAATTTGCCATATTTATGTTGGCGAATTAGTTCTGATATTTTGGTTGATGCCATACTGTGTGCCTGTCCTTACTTTTTATTGCATTTTAAGTTATTTTACTGAAAAGCAACCATATGTGAATTTTACTAGTCTAGTGAAAATTTTCCTAATATTCGTTATGTGTCCAGTTTCTGACTGGCACATGCAGATGCATTTGCATGGCTGCTTTTAATTTCCTAAAGAAGATTCTTTTCCTCTTTTATGAAAGAATCATATAAAAATGTCATTCTAAAGGGGTTTATTTTCAAAGTGTATGTACAAATATAAACATGACTTCCACATATACCCTGACCCGTTAAAGCACAAGGAAGCTCTCTGATATGAAGGCATCATCTGTCAACCCCATGTAAATTTGTCTCAGATTTGCTTTTATTTTAAATGTGTGACTTTAAGAATGAAGTGTTTTGTAGTGTTTCACGGAATTTTTTTTTTTTAGTATTTAAATTAAATTCACTACTAGATTCCTAATGATCTCAGTCAGCCATAGTTCTTTTTCCAGTAATTCACATTCCTTATTTTTTGTCCAAGAATTCTGATTATTATCCTTGGAAACATTAGAGTAGGGTTATTTTTTAAAGATTTATATATTTATTTATGAGAGACAGAGAGGCAGAGACATAGGCAGAGGGAGAAGCAGGCTCCATGCGGGGAGCTTGACCTGGGACTCGATCCCAGGACTCCAGGATCATGCCCTAAGCCAAAGGCATATGCTCAACCACTGAGCCACCTGACATCCCCGTCATTACAGTAGTTTAAAAAACTTCAAGAGGAATAAATGTATTTAACTAAAATTGCTCCTGTTTTCTATACATTTTCAGTAATGTTAGTAACATGAAATTGTATTTTCTAACTTGCTATACGCTGGTAATAACTCCAAATTTTAAAATCCCATTTGTTATGTTTTATTCATCAGAGAAAGCATTTTTAAATAATATATAGTAGATCAATAATGCATTAAGAACTCTATTACCAGTAATCAGCTTTTTCTATCCATATAAGTAGGGACACGGCCTTGGAATTTTACAAACATAAGAACTAATTTTTTGTTGGTCTAAAGATTAGTTCAATTATGTTGGATACCAATAAATACTTTCACTAGCTTGAACGAGATACACAGTAAAGAAGCCATTATGTTACGTGCCATCCTAGCGTAAATGTTTTGTGTTAATGATTATAGAAGAATCCATAATTATCAACATGTTCCCCCACTTTCTGTGGAAATATACAGGAGTGGCTCAGAAACTGTTAACCTCGCTGGCAGTGCTTTCAAATGGGCCTATTTGTCAATATTTATCTCCTATTTAACCATCTGGCCGTTGTTTTTGACCGGTTAGGCGTGCGTCCTGAGTATTTGGAATGCTGAATGAAGGCAATGCGAGTCGTATCAGCACTAACGCTCATTTTGATTGCTTTGATGCTAATGAACACAGTCTTCGTTTATAGACAGGGTTAGACTTACTCGGGATCATCAAACTTGTAAAATGATAAAATAAAATGTATTCTGGTTACCCATTTCTCTTCAGCTATTAAGAACCAAGCTACAGGCCACTATATTTTAAATGGCAAAGGGGAGGAAGCCAAGTCGCGGACCTTCATAGATCTTGGTGTGGAATGGGACTATAGCATTGAAGACGATATCGAAACTCTTCACACAGATGGACCTTTGCATGATCCTGTTATTGTTCTGGTATGTGGTATTACAGTCTCAGTGCGTAGCTGATGTAGCTTATAATTTTATGATTTATTTGTTTGAAAACACTTTTACCTTGAATGTTGAATATTTAACGGCTTGTTTTTTTTTTATGATTCCATTTATCTGCTCCTCTCTACTCTTTGTGCAACTTTGTCATGTATTTTAAGTACATTATAATCCTAATAACATAGTAGTATGATTCCTGACTTTTAGTAATCCATTATTAAAGACAAAAGATGAGATAGATTTTTTTTTTAATTTTTATTTATTTATGATAGTCACACACACAGAGAGAGAGAGAGAGAGGCAGAGACACAGGCAGAGGGAGAAGCAGGCTCCATGCACCGGGAGCCCGACGTGGGATTCGATCCCGGGTCTCCAGGATCGCGCCCTGGGCCAAAGGCAGGCGCCAAACTGCTGCGCCACCCAGGGATCCCGAGATAGATTTTTTTTTAAAGATTTTATTTATTTATTCAAGAGAGACACACACACACAGAGAGAGAGAGAGAGAGAGAGGCAGAGACACAGGCAGAGGGAGAAGCAGGCTCCACGCAGGGAGCTTGACATGGGACTCAATCCCGGGTCTCCAGGATCACACCCTGGGCCAAAGGCAGCCGCCAAACCACTGAGCCACCCGGGCTGCCCCATGATAGATTTTTATACTTACCCACATATTTACCATTTCTGATGCTCTTCATTATTCCCTATAAATCTGACTTTCCATCTAGTGTCATTTAGCTTTGATATAAAGAGCATCCCTTAGCATTTCTTGTGATGTGGGTGTGTTTGCTAGCAAACAATTCTCTCAACTTCCAATCATCTGAAAATATCTGTATTTTACCCTCGTTCTTTTTAAAAAATTTTTATTTATTTATTCATGAGACACAGAGAGAGAATGAGAGAGGCAGAGACACAGGAAGAAGGAGAAGCAGGCTCCAAGCAGGGAGCCTGATGCAGGACTTGATCCCAGAACTCCTGGATCGTGACTTGAGCTGAAGGCAGACGCTCAACCACTGAGCCACCCAGGTGCCCCTCACCCTCGTTCTTAAAAGATATCTTCGGCAGATATAAACATTTTGGTAGCCAGTGCTGTGTGTGTATTGTGTGTGTGTGTGTGTTTTAGCACTTTAAAAGGTGTTTTTATGCTATTAGAGGGAGTTGAAGGAATTTGAGGGCTGATTAGGGAAGTAGACGTGACCACAAGGTAGCAGTAGCACACACAAGCTTTATTATTTATTTTTATTTTTTTATTTTTTTTTTTAATTTTTATTTATTTGTGATAGTCACAGAGAGAGAGAGAGAGGCAGAGACATAGGCAGAGGGAGAAGCAGGCTCCATGCACCGGGAGCCCGACGTGGGATTCGATCCTGGGTCTCCAGGATCGCGCCCTGGGCCAAAGGCAGGCGCCAAATGGCTGCGCCACCCAGGGATCCCCACACAAGCTTTATTGACGCCTTAGCAGCTTTACATGTAGGGCCTCCCCTCATTCAGGAGAGAAGCACGTGGCAATTCCTGAGAGAGAGGGGATTGGGGGGGGGTGTTTCTGGTTAGGTGCTGTCAGTCAGCAGCAGGTGGGGAGTCTGCTCTGAGAGCTCCCCAAGAGCAGCAGCAGCTTGGGGTCCTTAGAGCCACAGTCTCCTTTACAGTTAGCAAATGTCGAATTCAGTTTCACAGGGGTATGCTAAGCAGGCAGGTTCTAAATGGCTAAAAATATGCTTGTTGGGGCTACATTTAAAAGGACTGGGAATGTAAAAATTTGAGTTTGATGCTAGCAGGCTTCTGAGATAAAGGGTCTCAGCCTGCCATGTAGAAACACAGTAGGCCAACATGAAGGCACCATCTTTGACTCCTAAGCCATCGCTTATGATGAGAAGTCAGCCTTGTTCATATTGCTGCTCTGTATGTGAATTATCTATTTTTCTCTGGCTTCTCTTTAAAGATATTTTCTTTATCTTTTTGTTTCATCTTGTTTGTTTAGCCATTTGATTGCGATATGCTTAGTTTGCGATATTCTTTGTCTCTATCTGGCTTGGGGTTCACCAAGCAATTGGTGATTTTAGTTGATGGGTGCATTTTTTTGTTTTTACCAAATTTGGGTTGATTTTCCATTTTATGCCGAGTCTGTTTTACCCCATCTCTCACTCCTACTAGGACTCATTTACCCATATGTTAAACCAGTTGAAATTGTTCCACACGTCTGCCGGGCTTTGTCCATCCTTCTGTAATCACTCTTTCTCTGTTCTTCAGATTGGATAATTACTATTGAGCCATGTTCAAGTTCACTGACTCTGTCTTATGTGATCTCCAATCTGTTGTTGAGCCCATCCAGTAAATTTTTCGAGTCAGATGGTATTCTTTTCTTTTCTAGAATTTCCATTTGGTCCTTTTTTAAAAACAAACAAAAAAAAATCGTTTCCATTACTATGCTGAGATTTTCATATATTTTACTCATTATGTCTACCGTCTCCTTGAACTCCCGTGTCTTCATGTTGTCTGCTTCTATAAGCTACTTTTTTTCTGGATTATGAGTCACATTTTCCTGCTCCTTACAATTTTTTAAATGTGCATTGGACATTATGGATGGCAAATTGTAGGACATTTGGTTTATGTTGCCTCTTTTATAGGCAGCTGGGTTCTGCTCTGGCTGTCGTTTCCTCCTGATCTTTGAAGCTTGATTTATTCTTTGTTAGGGCTGGTCTGTTTCAATTCTGTCCCTATTCTTATGGCATGGCCTTTCTGATGCCTTAACTGAATACCTGAAGTGTTAATGAGCCTTGTCATCTGGCTAGATAAGAACTCCCATGTCCCTAGCGCCACCTGACCTTCCGTGTCTCTGGTCCTGCTCCCAGCCCCACAGCAGACACTCGCTGGTAGACAGTGTGGTGACTTGGCCTGGACATGCACAGACCAGCCTTTGGTCCAGGATACGTGCAGCATCTGAGCCACCCCTGTGTGCAGCCCCCCCTTTTTTAGAGCCCTGTCTGCAAGTTCCAAACACCACGCTCCATCTCCTCAGCTCCTTGAGACTGCTGGCATGGCTTGGGCTCCTGCTTCCTGTGTAGGACCCAGAACCTGACCCTATCAGGAAGCCGGGACCTGGCCTGTTTCTATTCCCACAGGGATCACTGTCCTTCGCTGTGTTATTCATTGCTGCCCCACCCCCACCTGCCAAAAGTTCCCTTATATGTCTGTCCAGTCTTACTGTTTTTAATATCAGCAAGGCAACTCTATTATTCCCTCATGGATGAATGCAGAAGACATCTACGTGGTTTGAAAAATATTGTATTCTGTATTCAAATATTTATTGAATTTATTGAATATTTTCTCTGTAGAAAATATTATCCTCATTTGAAACCAAATCTTCCCACTCAATATTTTTTTTCTTTGAAAATTATTTCCCTTTGACAAAGTGTCCAAATCTTTTGCCCATTGTTAAAGTGGGTTATTTCTTCTTCTTCTTTTTTTTTTTTTGAGTTTTAAGAGTTCTTTATATATGCTTGATATATCCATTATGAAATATGTGATTTGTCAAATATTTTCCTCTAGTTAATGGTTTTTTTTGTTCTCTTACTAGTGTCTTTCACAGAGCAAAATATTTTAACTATCCTGTTGTCTAATGTATCAATTTTTTTCTTTTATGGATCAAGATTCTGGTGTTTTATATATATATATATATATTTTTTTTTCTGCCTAATCCAATGTTAAAGCATTTTCTTATTTTTTGGTAGAAGTTTTATAGTGTTGTATTTTACATTTTGAGGTGATTTTTATATAAATTTTGTATGATGTTAGGTTTTTAGTTTTGAATATGGATGCCTAAATTACTTATTACTGCATAACAAATTGCCCTGAACTTCTTAGCTAAACACAAAGCAACGTTTATTATTGCATAGTTTCTGTGGGCCAGGTATCTGGGAGCTACTTAAATGGCTAGATGTGGCTCAGGGCATCTCATGAGATGGGTCTTGGCTGTGGCTAGTTCACCCCAAGGCTCCACTGGGGATATCTGCTTTCCTGCTCAATCACAGGGCTGTTGGAAGGCCTCAGAAGATTCCTTCTAAGCTTTTACATGTGATGGCTGGTGGGCCTGGGTTCTTCACTATCTGAGCCTCTCCTTAGACTCCTTAAGTGTCCTTATCACTTGGGAGTAACATCCCATTTATGCGGCTGTCGTCTGTTTGCTGGAGGCCAAGTCACTGAATCCAACCCACACTGAAGGGGAGACAAATTAAGCCCTACTCATTGAGAGGAAAAATACCAAAGTATTTGTGGACATGTTGTTAAATCCACTACAATGACTTGTTCTAGTACCTTTGTTGAAAAAATCGTCTTTTGTTTCCATTATCTTTTCATCTGTGCCAAAAATTAATTGTGCATGGTTATGTAGGTTTATTTCTGTCATTCTATTTCATAGGTTATATAATTTTATAGCAAAAATATATACTAATCAAAATTCCATTAAATTTGAATGGTTGGAGATCAGAAGCTCCATTTCACTCATATAATTACACTGCATTCTTTTCCAGTGGCACAGATGTCTGGCCTCAGAGCCCTGCTGCTAACCACCATGATAGCCTACCTCAAGGCTTTGTGCACTGATAGCAGGGTGACTTCAGGGAACAACGTGAATCAGAGATACAAGGAAACTTGTAGTTAGGACGGTAGGGTTGTAGACAATGTAGAGCAGTGCTCTATCTTTTCCTCTCTAAAGGGCTGGAACCCCAGGCTGGGAGCTCTGGAGCATGGCAGGTAGCTGGCTGGGACTGAAAGCATTAGGCATCTGGCTAGAATATAAAATCAAAGAGTAAGGGGAAAAGAAAGCGAAAGGAACCCAGATAAGCAAATCCTTCATCCTAGTCGGTTTAATATTACTTGATTTCTCAAACAAAAGCTATTTCTAAAAATTTAGTGTAAAAAAACTGGTGAATTGCACATGCTTTTCCCTTTGTATAATTGACATAATCCTATAAAAGCTAGTATGTGAAAGTCGATAAAAGCGTATTTAAAAAGAAAAAAAAAGAGTATGTTGCCCTAAACAATATTAAAGAGCAAATAAAAAAACTAAGAATATATTTGCAGTGCTTATTATAAAAGAAGGATTAATGTTCTTATTACATAAATTACTTAGAAGAAAAGGTATATATACCAATACAAAAGAAGGCATGACACAAACCTGCAGAGAATAGCAGCCAGAATACAAGTGACTAATAAACCAAGAAAATTAAACTTTACTATTTATCAAATAACAATTAAAATATCAATCTTTTGCCTGTTTAATTAACAAAGATGAAAATTATAGAGTATATAGTGCCAAATGGGGCCCTTTTCATCATATACCCTCATTATGAAAGTAATAATTGTTCTAACTATTTTGAAGGGTTATTCATCAGTCTGTTATAAGAGCTATAAAAAGCACTCGTACCCTTTAGCTCACTAAAGAAAATCAGAAATCACCGCAAAGGTGGGGGACAAATTCTAACCAATACAAGTATTTATTAACAAGTGAATGGCTAAATAATGCATGCTACCTTTAGGATCAAACACTGTGCTGACCTTGAGAAGTATGTTTTCAAAGAATATTTACTATCTTGGGAAATGTACATGACACATTAAGTGAAATAAGCAAAGCCTGAAAAACATATGTGTACACGCACACGCGCGCACACCAGGCAATATGCAAATATCTCGAGGGTATATCTCAAAACAACAGAAGTGACTTTGGTTTTCTCTCGTTTAGTAGAATCATGGATGATTTTTATTTTCTTTGTGTTTTTCCATAATGTGTACATTATGCTGGAGGAAGCATTATTTATCATCATGACCAAACAGTTATTTTAAAGAATAATTTTCAAATGCAGCAAGAAGATATATAATAAGTTAAGGAAATCCACAGTGAATCTTATTATAAAGTTATTATTTTTATTATATAATCTCATATCAGTGTGTTTTTTTTTATATCTTTATGGTCAAAGTGTTATATATTTACCTTTTTTTTTTTCTTAAACAGGGCATATTTTTATACTTTTGTTGATAGAACCATTATATTTTTAGAAACTGCGTGAAAGTTTTCCAGTTTTAATAAGAGTGCTATTCTGAAATATTTATAATTTTTACTGGAAATATAAAACCCCTTCAGATGACTTACCTATCTATTTCATGTATACATTAGATCATACCTCAGGAGAACGATACCCATTCCAGCCTGACCTATAAGTACATCATTCATGAAGATTCTGCACCTACAATCAGCAGCAATAATGTCATCCAGGAAGAATTAGATACTTTTGAGTGGGCTTTGAAGAGCTGGTCTCAGTGTTCCAAACCCTGTGGCGGAGGTAACAATTGAACACATGTACCACATTCAAAGTAATGCACAGAAAGCCAGTTATCCTGCTTCTCCCTTAAAGATTGCCTCTCACGGAGGCCACAGTCTGAGAAATACTAAACATCACAACTAAAACGTAGGCACAAAGCATGTTTACTGAAGTCTCTGAATCTACAAAGGATGAGAATCCGTTTATCACAACCTTGAAATTCTCTTGTCCTTTTCCTCACGTTCTTTTTGTCTTCTATTCACATGGTGGTACGTTTAACGACTTCACTTTTCCCCAAATCCTCCCACATTCAGTGTCCTGTGGTTCTGGCCTTTCTTCTTCTCCACTTTTACTTTCCATAGCAGCACATTTCTTTTTTTTATCAGTGTTAGTAATGAAAGAGCTATTAGTTGTACCAAAGGGAGCAAGTGGTGTTTTAAGTGCTCTATTAGAGTATCAGTACTCAAAATGGCTCTGTGAGGTCAGCAGCATGATTGCCTATATTGTACTGATTGGGAAACTGAGGACAGGTACGTCATTTGCCCAGACCCTAGTATACAGACCTGGGTGTTCCAGCTTCTGGCTACGTTCTCAGTGCACTGGGCTGCCTTTCTGCCCTTTCTCAAGGAAGTCCATGAAGCATCCTCAGAGTTTTTCAGTTTCTCACTTCATCCATTCCTCTGGTTCTGAACGATAGATGCTCCAGAGCTGAGCAAGCCTAGACAGAATTTTCCCCAACAGGCAGGAGAAGGCAAAGGGCTGAGTACTGATGCTGAGTAACCAAGAGCAAAAAAAAATTAGAGTAAGGAAAGCCTGTGTCAGCCATTTATTCTATAATTTAAAATTCAAGGACGCATTTGTAAAGAGGATTTTTTTTTTTGAAGTGGAGGGGCCATAAATGTTTTTAGTTAATTATTTAAAATGACACTTAATCCATTATAAAATGCTTGTTTAATTTGAATCTTCCCTTCTCTGCTGCCTCAGCATCCACCCAGTTACAAGGCTTGCCAGACACACCTTTTTATAAATGTCTGCCACATCTATGCTTTCCTTACCGGGTTTCCTTCGTAATTTTGGAAGGGAAGATTATTGCAAAAGTCTTTTAATAGTCAACTAATTTGTTTTTTCTCTTTTTCTATTCTAAGGTAATCTTGAATGAATGGCTGAATGACCGAATGAGTAGAATTTATATTATTTTCCCAGTTTAAATCCTGTGGCCTCCTAATGTGTTGTCCTGAAGACACAGCATCGTTTATGTATTATTCCTGCTGAAAGTGCATAACCTGAATCTAATCATTAGGAGGCTATGTTTTTATCATTAAATAAAACTAAATTGGGGGACATTTTTTAAAACAAGTGGCTTGTACATCTCGAAAATATTCAAGATAAAGAGGCTCAGAAACTACTCCTGCTTAATTCCCTGACACGCATAATCCATGATCAGAAAAACATTGCTATAGAGAACATGTTAGGGGCAACTGGCAAATTTTGAATATGGTCTATATATTAGATAAGAGTATTCTATCCGTTAAATATTCTGATTTTAAAAATTATGCAATAGATGTGCTTGTTATGGGCAGTATGCTGAAGTAGTTAGAAGCGAAAGGTCAGGATGCCAGCAACTTGCTCTCAAATAGTTCAGCAGCATTTTACATATATTATACATATTGCATATTATAAATAACCTATTACATATGTAAAATATATATGTGTATGTACCTCAAATATAGTGTCGTGTAATACAAGGTTAATCTAGACTCAAGGCACGCAGATGTTCACTGTGCTTTCCTTGCAACATTTTTGTAGGTCTGAAAGTTTTTTAAAAATCTGCTTCCCTTTCTCCCAGTACTGTTTAAATTTCAAGATTCTGATCAAGAAGTGCAGCTCTTGTGAGCAGTCCCTGCCCCTCCTCCAGCTAAGTTGAGACCCTCCCCTCTGTGCCCCTCTGGTGCCCTCTACAGTAAATTATTTACATAACTCTCTAAAAGCCCGCATCCTGGGTATTGTCACAACGGTTGTCAAACCTGGTGTGTGCTCGGGGTCTAGTTCATTCGCACATTCACAGCTGCGGTTTAATCATCTGTAATCTTTATTAAATGTAGGCCCTGAAAAGTTGAGAGTTTTGTTTATGTAATTGACTTCTGGACCTCCCGCATCCACAGCAGTGCCTGCCCCCCCCCCCCGCCATGTCATCAGTCAATATTTGTTGAATGAGTGAATGACCAAATATGTAACAGGAATGAATAAGTGAGTGAATCCAAAGAAATGTATTTCCTTTCCTAGGTTTCCAGTACACTAAATACGGATGCCGTAGGAAGAGCGATAATAAAATGGTTCACCGCAGCTTCTGTGAGGTCAACAAGAAGCCAAAACCTATTAGAAGAATGTGCAACATTCAAGAGTGCACACATCCGCTGTAAGCAGTTATTTTAACTATCGTGTCCTGAGGACAACATGAAAGGGATTTAAATGTCCTTAGTTGTTTTCCATTTTAATTTTATTTTTAGTCAAAGCTAATAAACATACCCGGTTTAAATAATCAGATCATTTCACGGGAATTGTATAAAGCTGTGGTTCTCTTGCCTTTTACCATTTCCCTGCTCCTCAAAAACAGCCATATTCCAGCTAGGTTGCTTCTTTTGATATTTGGTAACTCCTCGTTTCCATCTTCCTAAGTAAAATGTGTTTATATCGACTTGATTTTGGGGGGTGGGGGAGGTTTTGCATATTATGTATATGCAAGACATGATACATAAGACACTGATTTCCCAATGTGGAAAGTGAAGACTTTAGCATTCTTCTAAAATCCTTCCCCAAATGCATACCCACAGCCCAGACTTCTCTCTTCCTCGGCATTTCCAATATGGCTATAACCTGCCTTTTATTGATGCTGATGTTCAGTTTCTCTTAACAACTTCTGTCTCTCCTAACAGGTGAGTCGCTTAGCTGCTCTTCTTTCCTTGTGAAACTTTGTTCCTCCTGGAATTCATGAATGCCTTGATTTTGATGCTTTATTTTCTACTACTTTTCATTATTCCATCCCCAAACTGTCTTTCATGAGTATCAATCTCCTATAAATACTAAAAACTCAAATATCTTGTCACTTGCAGCTTCTTAGAGATCTCTCTCAGAGAGCTAAGTGTCTTCCAGCTCTGCCCTGGACTTCTGTCCATTCGGGGCTTCTTTTCCTCTACCTAAATCTTCCTACTGCCTCTCTTTTACATCACATCTCCTGGTTCCTGAATTTCTTGTCTTCTTTTCATGTATTCATTTGTTCTGGTAGATCATGTCTTCCAGTAGCTTTCTGAAAAATGTACGTACAAAGTGAAAATTTTTGTGTAAAAAAATTCTCATATACCTACGTAAAGTAGCTAAGAGATTAAAGTATGAGGGTATGTAGGTAATCTTCTACTCTCACTCTTAATCATTTGGATACAAAAACATATAACTCCGAACTATAGTGTTTATTCTTTCAGAATTTTGAAGCCATTGTTCCGTTGTTTTCTAGATTCCCATGTTGCCGTTGAAAAGTAATTTGCTCTCCTGGTTCTCAGTGCTTTCTATTTTTGTTTGTCATTCAAAGTTTGTAGGAACTTCTTTTTGTTCCCAATGTCCTGAAATTTCACAGTGATGGAACTGCCTTGGTGCTCTACTTTTCTCATCCATCCTCCTATGTACTCAAAGACTTTTTGAAGCACAGAACCAGTATCTTTCATCGCTGGGACATTTTCTGGGTTTTGTTTTTGTTTTTGTTTTTTTTGGAAAATGTCTCCTATATTCTTCAATGTGCTTTCTTTCTGAGATATTTGTAATTAGGATTCCTAAACAGATCTAATTTACTTTTCTTTTCTCATCTACTCTTTATTCTTCTACTGGCTGAAATGTTCATTTTTACAACCATGTTATTAATATCTAAGAGCACTTTAATATTCAAGCACTCTGTTTTGTTCATCACATGTTCCTTCCTTTAAGACATTTGATGCTTATTTCACAGATGTAATATTTTCTTTTATCTCAAAGATTTTTATTTTATTTTATTTTATTTTTTCAAAGATTATTTTATAATACCAAAGATTATTTTCTTTTTCAGGCATTATTTCTTTTGAGTTCTTTTCTTCTGTTTCTTTTTTTCTGCCTCCATCATTTGTGTTTGAGGCTTTCTTTCTTTCTTTAAAAAAAAAAAAAAGATTTATTTATTCATTCATGATAGACAGAGAGAGAGAGAGAGAGAGGCAGAAGACACAGGCAGAGGGAGAAGCAGGCTCCATGCCGGGAGCCCGACGCGGCACTCGATCCTGAGGCTCCAGGATCGCGCCCTGGGCCAAAGGCAGGTGCTAAAGCACTGAGCCCCCCAGGGATCCCCTGTTCGAGGCTTTCTGTCTGCTGCTTATTGGCCGTTCATGCGTACATAAGAATGCAGTGTTAAAAAGGCTGCTTGGAAGCCTGCTTCAGCTTCATGGTCAGGATTTGCTTGCTGGTGGGCTTCACTGTAGGAAGAGCTGGCTGGGCTATTTCATTGAAGACCCTTAATGTATATTTAGGGCTTTTCTCATGAAATGATCAGGTTCCAAAGAGCAGAATCAATCTCCTGCCTAGGGAGCATAAGCCCATTTAATAGCTGTTCTAGAAGTTTGTATATGTGCAGGTAACTAGGGTCATCTCACTGTTCCTTATGTGGATTCTTACAGAATCCCCTGCCTTCACTCTTTCTCTGTTGTCTCTTGACTATGTCTGTGTCCACACGCTAAAGGTCTGGTTTACCTTCTGCACAGGTCAAATCATCTGCTGGGCTAGAGGAGGGGCAATCAGCCGGTGGGGGGTGAGGATCAGGAAGTGGAACTGTTTCCAAACAGACTCTTCCTCAGTCCTGGGTTTTCGGCTCTACCTTCACCCAGCTTCACAGTGTTCCCTTTCACTGGCAGCCACCATCCAGCACGTTTCTCAAGTTATGCCTCCCAGTTGGTTTGCCTGCCAGCTTCTACTGCTGAGTTAAACTTCATCCTTCTTAGGTCGGCTGAGCTGGTAGCCATATGTCCCACCACTTTCTAGGTTCCAAAATCATCTTTTGGTGCCTTCTATCCATTTTTTTTTTTTTTTTACCTTTGTGGGTTTATGCCGTTTTTCTCCCTCGTTGTCATCCTAAGAATTTCAGGAGGGAATAAATTTAACTGGGAATATCTAGGGCTATGAAATGTATACTTCTCATGTAATATCTGTCTTCAACTTTTAGTTACCACAGTACATCCTGCTGCAAGTTTGACAAGCTAAAGCCATTCCAAACTGGGAATGCCAAAGACTATCAAGGTTTTAGCATGATTGTATTTTTGTGCCCTATATATGTGAAAAGAAAAAAAAAATGGAGAGGGAAAGTTACTCTGGATAGGATAAAGAGTATGCCTCAATTACATTCAGACAGATCAATGAACCAGATGGAATCACTGGTGACGGCCTTTTGGGACCTGGTAGCCCCGTGTCATGGAGACCTGTTCATAATAATGCACCTGCGGCTGATTTGGAGAGTGCTGGGGCATTGATGACACAGAATTTGGGAATGTCCTATGGGAGATCTTTTTGAAAATATCTTTTTAGAAATCTCTCTATTAGGTGCACTCAAGCGCTGCTGGATGCACACTACCTTTACCTTTTTGTCGGGCCAAATAAAAGTCCATACGAAGAACTGCATTTTCCAAACAGGGCAGATATGTCAGGCAGCCTTTTCCGCAGCACTTGTAGAAATTGAACAGTCGTCTCAGTTAGAATGCTAAAGCGTCAGTCAACTCAGGGTTTCTTGAAAAAAGGCAGCAGCAGCCAAATCAGTTTGTCCCAGCAAGCATCAGATGGATCGCCTTTTTAAGTTTCCTTTCAGATGTTTAACACCCAGGAGGCAATTTGGCTGAGACAAGTTGGCAAGTTGGCATATTTCTGAAAACTGCCGTCATGCCTGCACCTAACCTGGCAACCTTAGGATGAGTCTCAGGAACCCTCTGTCTATCGTTGTTTAGAAAAAGAGGTTTCCCAGTCACAGGGAGGCAGAAAAACCCCACGGCATTAAAAGCAGAAGTATTGGGCCTCTTACTGTCAGAAAATTCTCAGACTTCTGCCTCGTTTGATGCACAGAAAGCAGGAAAGGCTAGGCGGCCGAGCAGGGAGGTGGCGCCACGGCCACTGACCGCTCCAACCCTCACCCCTGCTGCAGCTGGGTGGCGGAGGCCTGGGAGCACTGCACCAGGACCTGCGGGGGCTCCGGCTACCAGCTCCGCACCGTGCGCTGCCTTCAGCCACTCCTCGACGGCGCCAACCGCTCCGTGCACAGCAAGTACTGCCCAGGCGAGCGGCCGGACCACCGCCGGCCTTGCAACCGAGTGCCCTGCCCCTCCCAGTGGAAAACGGGGCCCTGGAGTGAGGTGGGCCATGACCCTGTGTGCCTGGGTTCGGTGTGTGTCTGCACGTGCAGCCTGTTTGTATTTTCACTGGGCTCAAGGATCCGGCAGGCGTGCTGCGAGTTGAGAACCCGCCACACGCTGGGCCATCATCAAGCAGCCGGAGGTGCCAGGGGAAAAAATGATTTGAAAACAGTGAATGAAAAAATGAAATGAAAACATTTGCATTTAAGATGAGTTGGTGGGGGCGAACCATGTTCGGGGGTTCTGTGACCCGGAGGAACCTGAAGGTCACTGATCTTCTGTGTAGTATCTTTGTTGACGTCCCCTTTCCTGCCGGATGGATTCCAAATGCCTGACAGTGAACGCGGGCCCTGCCCCATCTGGCAGCACACTAACTCTCCTTCTCCTCCTTCTCCTTCTCCTCCTCCCCTTCCTTTTTTTTTTTTTTTTTTTTTTTGCTTCAAGTATAATTGACATAACATTACGCCAGTTTCAGGGGTGCAATGTAATGGTTCACTATTGCAAACGTTCACCACAGTAAGTCCCATGCTCACTTCTCTTGCTCTTTTGTTCTTTATTCCAACTCTGTCTTCGAGTTTGGGAAACTCCTTACTCTTCCAAAAGGGCTGTGCTCATTGGAGTCTCCCCCCTTTCAGCTGATGGCCCTCCCTCCCTCCCCCCCTTTCCCCCCTCCTGTCTCACCACCCCTTCCTCCTTATCCACTCCTGGCTCATTTCCAGAGTCCACCTTCCAGGGCTGCCTTTCTCACAGCCCCTCCTCTACATTCCAGAACCAGAGGCCTACCTCTAGCATGCCCCCCTCATGATGTAATAGTGTGACTTTTGTCTTGGAGTCCATGCTTGCCACTGGTCCTCACATTTCTCAAGGACTGTGCATTGCTTCCCCACTCCACAGCCAGTACCTGTCCAGTCCATGGTGTTGGCTTGCTGGCTCAAGCTTGTGTTGCCTGAATTAATCCCACATCTTTGGCATTTCTAAAGATTCAAAATGAGGAATCATGAAATCATAGGAGAAGAACTTAGAGGAGGGAAGGACATCAAAAAAGCAGATAGAGAATGAAGGAAGACGTGGAGGGCAGGCCCAGGGAGGAAGGGACAGGCAAGTGAAGGTCACCTGCATGGGACCAGAAAGATGACTCCTATCCCTCCTCTTTAGAGTCCTGAATGAAGGCCCCTCCCCTATAGCTCCTGTCCGGAACAACAGCTTAAGATGTTCTTGGATTTAATTTTAGAGCAGTTAGCCCCTTCATTAAAGAAATTAATTTATGGGAATAAAATAAAAGTAGTTCCAAAGAAGTTGAACTAACCAGGGTAGCCCGTCAGTGAATTCTGCCATCAGTGAAGAAGGTGAAAGAACGGGACATGCTTACTGCCTGGCGGGCACAGTTGCTTTCCAGACGTCATCTCCTTTCCCATAGTCCCACACTAATCCTGAAGCAGGTGTTAGCCTCGGGCTTCAGAGAAGCAGCAGTGTATCCAGGCTGGTCACTTACGAGGTCGGGCTGTAAACCCGCGATTGCCTGTCTGCAAAGGAACACAGAGAATGAACCGCAGAGCTGTGCGTGCGCGTGTTTCCGCGTATGCGATGTGCATGCGTGTGGGCATGGGTGTGTGCATGGAGAAAGGGAGGAAGGCGACCCCGGTGGAATAAACCTCTCTGATCGCAGCTTTCGTTCCTCTAGTGTTCCGTAACCTGTGGGGAGGGCACGGAGGCGAGGCAGGTCCTCTGCAGAGCGGGAGACCACTGCGCCGGGGAAAAGCCAGAAGCCGTCAGACCTTGTCAGCTGCCTGCCTGCGATGGTAGGTGTGACACCCATTGGCTTCATTGCTCTGACGATAGTTTTTAAGCCTCAACAAGTGGAATTTCTGGACAAACTCTGGAATTTGTTTGCTTATCAAAAAGTGACCTAAGGAAGAGCACCTGCCTTTGCCTCGGGTCATGACCCCCGAGTGCTGGGATCTGTTTCCCTCCACCCGCCCCCGCTGCCCCATCTGCTGTCTGTCCTCTCTCTTTCCCCCGTTCATCCGCTTCCCCCCTTCCCCACCTCACCCCACTTCTGTCATCACAGGCTTCCTCTTAAAGGTACGTCGGTACCTGAGTCTGTACCCGACGACGGTGGTGGGTGCTGCTGTCACACTAGTGAGACTTGGAACTAAAGAGGTTGCCTTTTCATCGGCCTGCAGCCTAAGAAGCCGTTAATTAAATATTGACACCTGCTGAGTTGTACTTTCTTTTCTTCAAGGAAATTGTCAAGGCACTATTTTATTAAAAAAAATTACGATTTTATTTGTTTATTTATTCATAAGACACACAGAGGCAGAGACACAGGCAGAGGGAGAAGCAGGCTCCATGCAGGGAGCCCCATGCAGGACTCAGTCTCAGGGCCCCGGGGTCATGACCTGAGCCGAAGGCAGATGCTCAACTACTGAGCCACCCAGGTGTCCCCAAAAGCTTTTTTTTTTTTTTTCTTGAAGAAATTTCAGGTCAAGTCCATTTATTATTTATTCATTCATTCATGAGAGACCCACAGAGACAGAGAGAGAGAGAGAGGCAGAGACACAGGCAGAGGGAGAAGCAGGTTCCTTGCTGGGAGCCCAACGTGGGACTCGATCCTGGGTCTCTAGGATCAGGCCCTGGACTGAAGGCAGCGATCGATGAACCGCTGGGCCACCGGGGCTGCCCCAGGTCAAGTCCTTTAAACTTAAATTACTTCGTTTTAAATTTCCATTTGAAATGTGTGGCAGCAAGAACAAGCACGGCCATGAGGGGGAGACAGAGGACTTTGATATTTAATCATTTTCTCTGGAAAATATAATTGAAAATTTCAGACAGGAGACAAAACAAAGAGAACAAACTTCACCCAGTTAGAAGCTGTAAGATTTACAGTTGCCATGATATTTCATTTTTATGTATTACTGCCAAGAGGCTGAAAACTTTGTGGAGTAAACTTGATTCTTAATAGTTGGTAGAGCTACGTATTTCTGCAAATATGCCCAATTGTCAGCAGGAATTGCTTCTTTTCCTTTAGCTAACAGAAATTATTTTAGATTGTAAAACAGAGGTACAAATGAGATGGTGTAACTATGTTAGGGATTCCACAGTTTAGCTGCTGTCTTGCTCTGAGATCCAGGCCCAACAGCCAATTCTTGGAGGTCGTAAAAGGCCGTATGTTTCTATCACACATTTCAAGTAATAATTCCCATCAGTGTCAAACTGCGATTAAAATGAAATGACTTTTTGAGACCATGGGTAAAACCGTTTTCCTGAACTTCTTATAATGATTCGGGCATGGAACAAGAGGGCTGAAAAGTTTCCTTAATTTTGACGATTGAGTTTCTCATGTGGATCCTTCCCCTAAGCCCCATTTTGATTGTGCTATTTCATTGCTGCTGTTAAGCTCTTCCCATTTATCCTGGGATGAATTACCATAAAGTGAATGTATTCCTTTGCTCTTACCTGTTTTTTTCTAAGAATATCTCATCCTTTTCCTCCTCTATCCAGAAACATATTCTGGCCCTAACTAGACCCATGTTGTGAACCAGTCCTTGCGATGCTGAGGTGCTCACACAGAGGGGAGTCTCATATGTGGATCCCCCTCTTTAATACAGAGAGAATAGGTCATGTTTTGAACTGGGCCGCAGAAGGGGGAGTGGAGTGGGCAGGGTGAGGGGTCAGAGGGAAAAGAGTACAGGGTCAAATAAAGTCCTCTCCTCCCAGGGCCTAGAGCCTGAAACATATAGGAAGAAGAAATTAATATTCTTATTTTAAGATACAGGCATAGAAAAAGTAATTCAGAAATAAAAAGTATATTTGAGGGGAAACCCATTAATGTGACACGCAGGCATTCACAACATAATTGGATGATTACCTTAGTTAATATAAAATATGCAGAGATGTCATACTATCTGGTATATCTGTAAGTGTCGGGCAAACAGATCACTCCACAATTTGGGAAGGGGGCATGGTATTATAACTCTAGTAGATAGTTTTATAATTTGTAATCGGTAACAAATATAGTAATTTTATCTCAGTCTTGCCAGCTGACTGTCCTTTTTTTTCGAACTTTAGAAAAAAAGATTTTTTAATTTCTTTAGGAATTTATATAGAGGTTCCTTATCTAGCAATAGGGCATGACCCAATAATACATTGTAATTTTGAGTGATTATAGTATATAAGTGCCACAACTTACAATGCTCCGTGTTTATGAATCAGACATAGAATCCATATTTCTTTGTTGCACCATGTTTGTGGGCTCTGCAGAGGATGTGCCCTAAAATGGCTGAAAATAAGTACAAACTAACTTGTCCATGGGCTCAACATTTAGATTTTTTGAAATTTAATTCTTATAATGTGTACTCAAAATAAATTTAAAATCCTAAAAGGAGTGTACACACACGTATCAAGTGTTTTATGAGTGTCAGGTTAGTACTCTGTAAACAGAAAGTGTTCTCAATTCAGTAAAATTAAATTCAAAAACTATGAATGATTCAAAAGAAAGTTGGCACATTCTACCCAAATTTATGCTTTCAAATAATAAATAGCCTGAGAATATTTGGTAGTAAAAATGTAATTATTTCATTGACTCTGGTCAACGGTCTTTTTTTTTTTCTCCACATTTTTAAGATTTAATTTGTTCCATTAGGTACTTAGAATTTATTTTGATTTTTATTTATGTATTTTTTTCAAAGAGTTAATTACTTATTTTGGAGAGAGTGAGCAAGCAAAGGGGAGGGGCCAAAGGAGAGGGAGAGAATCTCAAGCAGATTCCCCGCTGGGCATGGATCTTGACCCAGAGTTCCATCTCAGGACTGTGAGATCATGACCTGAGCCAAAATCAAGAGTCAGATGCTTAACCAGCTGAGCCCTGAACTAGCTAGGCATGCTAGTATTTATTTTGATTTTAAATTTAAATTTAATGTAGAAGCTAATCTACTAGAAAGCCAGAAATACCATAAAAAATAACAGCAACAACAACAAAAACAGATGTCCCTTTATATCCTAAAAAAGTATTTGTGGCAAAATGAATCCTATTTTCTCATTCTAAAATCAGATACAAAAAAAATAATAAAATAAAATAAAGAAAAATAAAATAAAATAAAATAATAAATAAAGTAAAATAAAATAAATAAATAAAATAAAATAAAATAAAATAAAATAAAATAAAATCAGATACATGTTCCTACTTGGAAGAGAAAAGTACCCTCAATCTGCAGACTTTTGATGGAGACATTAAAAATAGTGGTCAACCTAAGTGCTTTTCACAGAAAAAACTACTTATTTCAGTGAACTTATCCAAAAGTTCCTTTTTTTAAAAAAAATTGAGGTATAATTAACATTTAACATTATATTAGTTTCAGGTGTACAATATAATTATTTTATATTTTTATATATTGCAAAATGATCATAACTATAAGTCTAGTTAATTTGTCTATCACTATGTATAGTTATAAAATTATTTTTCTTGCCATGAAAACTTTTAAGATTTATCCTCTGAGCGGTTTTTAAATGTGCGATACAGTATTATGACCTGTAGTCACCATGTATACATTCATGACCATGACACTTATTTTATAACTGGAAATTGCTACCTTTTGACCCCCTTCACCCATTTCACCCACTTCCCAAACCCCACCCCTGGCAACCACCAATCTGTTTGCTGTATCAATGAGCTTTTTTTTCTTTTAGATTCCACACACAAGTGGAATCGTGCAGTGTTTGTCTTTCTCTGTCTGGCTTATTTCATTTAACATAATATCCTGAAGATCTGTCTGTGTTGTAAATGGAAAGATTTCATTCATTTTTATATCTGAATAATATTCCACTGTATATATAAATATATATATATTTCACAATTCTTTATCCATTCATCCATTGCTGGACAGTTAAGTTTTTTCCATATCTTGGCTATTATAAATAATACTGCAGTGACCATGGGGGTGCATATATCTATTTGAATTAGTGTTTTCATTTTCTTCAAATAAATACCTTTTTGGGGAATTACTGGATCATATGGTTGTTATGTCTTTAATTTCTTTAGGAATATCCACACCGTTGTCAGTTTACATTCTCACCGCTAACATTCATATTTTTAATGCTCTTTTGGACAATTCCAATTAATGTCAGATTTTACTTATATTTTTTTATATTCCTACACAATTTTAATTTCTTCCTTTTATTTGCTGTTTAGATGTATGTGTTATTTTTTTTGTATACTTTTTATTGGAGTTCGATTTACCAACATATAGCATAACACCCAGTGCTCATCCCGTCAAGTGCCCCCCTCAGTGACTGTCACCCAGTCACCCCGTCCTCCCACCCACCTCCCCTTCCACTACCCCTGGTTCATTTCCCAGAGTTAGGAGTCTTCATGTTCTGTCTCCCTTTCTGATATTTCCCACACGTTTATTCTCCCTTCCCTTATATTCCCTTTCACTATTATTCATATTCCCCAAATGAATGAGAACATACACTGTTTGTCCTTCTCCGATTGACTTACTTCACTCAACATAATACCCTCCAGCTCCATCCACGTTGAAGCAAATGGTGGGTATTTGTCATTTCTAATGGCTGAGGAATATTCCATTGTATACATAAACCACATCTTCTTTATCCATCATCTTTCGATGGACACCGAGGCTCCTTCCACAGTTTGGCTATTGTGGCCATTGCTGCTAGAAACATCGGGGTGCAGGTGTCCCGGCGTTTCATTGCATCTGAATCTTTGGGGTAAATCCCCAACAGTGCAATCGCTGGGTCGTAGGGCAGGTCTATTTTTAACTCTTTGAGGAACCTCCACATGGTTTTCCAGAGTGGCTGCACCAGTTCACATTTCCACCAACAGTGTAAGAGGGTTCCCCTTTCTCCACATCCTCTCCAACATTTGTGGTATCCCGTCTTGTTAATTTTCCCCATTCTCACTGGTGTGAGGTGGTATCTCATTCTGGTTTTGATTTGTATTTCCCTGATGGCAAGTGATGCGGAGCATTTTCTCATTTGCTTGTTGGCCATGTCTATGTCTTCCTCTGTGAGATTTCTCTTCATGACTTTTGCCCATTTCATGATTGGATTGTTTGTTTCTTGGGTGTTGAGTTTAATAAGTTCCTTATACATCTTGGATACTAGCCCTTTATCTGATACGTCATTTGCAGATACCTTCTCCTATGCCGTAGGTTGTCTTTTAGTTTTGTTGACTGTTTCTTTTGCTGTGCAGAAGCTTCTTATCTTGACTAAGTCCCTAGATGTATGTGTTATTGTGTCTTTTTTAAATTTTTGCAGATGAGCCATGTTTGGGAGACAAGTCTATATTCTGTCAAATGGAGGTGCTCGCGCGGTACTGCTCCATACCAGGTTATAACAAGTTATGTTGTGAGTCGTGTAGCAAGCGCAGTAGCACCCTGCCACCTCCATACCTTCCAGAAGCTGCTGAAACTCATCGTGATGCTATCTTTAACCCTAGCGACCTCCATGGATCTCTAGTGATGCCTACATCTTTGGTTCCTCACCAGTCAGAGCCCCCTGCTGAGAGGAAGAAATCTTTGGGTAGGATCTCTTCAGTGGGAGGCCCAGATGTATTCACTGCTTCCAGACCAAACAGTAAACCTGATGGTGCTAACTTCCCCCAGAGGAGAGCTCTGCAAGCAGGAAGTAAGACTCTGAGACTGGTCTCCCCAGCCACCAAGAGCGGCCCCCTCAACTCATCTTCAGACCCGGCTGCTGCCCGCCTCCTGGCGGTCAGTGATTCAATAGGTGCTTCTTCTCAGGCAAGAACCTCAAAGAAAGATGAAAGAATTCTTGACGAGAGACATCCAATAAGATCATCCACTTTGGAAAGATGAGAAAATGAACCTCAAAGGTTAGAAGTCAGAGGAAAACCTGGACAAGCTCCCTCTCCCCATGGTGCATACAGCTTGTTTAAAGTGTAAATCCCCATAAACTGTCAACTCATTTTGTCTGTACGTGTAAGAACAAAAAGTGCTGGTTCACTTTCTCGTTGCTTTCATCCTCCTTTTGTTCTGCATCGACTCGTTTACCAGAATTCATCGAAAGGAAGCACCAAAGATTGTTAATAGGAGGAAAATAAGTTGCCAAGCCTGTTGGTCACTCTCTAGTGCAGCAAAGGGACTGGAACCAATTATGTATATCAGCTGATTTCTTATTTTTCAAAAGTTAATAAGAATAAATAAGAAAAGCGGTGCCGACAGTTTACACTTTAACAAAATATTTTGGAAATGGAGCAAAAAATTCTTAGACTTGTATTCCTATTTATCTATATTAGAAGTATTGTATGAGCGAATTTGCAGCTGTTGTGTAAATATTGTATATTGCAGAAATCAGTATTATTTTAAGAGATGTGTTCTCACATGGTTGTTTACTATATTACATTTCTGGATGTTCTAGGTGCCTGTTGTCGAGTGTTGCCTTATTTGATATTCTGTGGGTTGATTTTCAAAGCAGAATATAATGAATAAGAAGTTAGACCTATAGCTACTGACAATGCAAAGGGCTTTGTTGTGTGGTTTTGTTTAATCAACAACGGGATACCTAAATTACAGAAAAAGAAAAATCACACGTGCTGCAAAGATACAGATTTCAGCTTACCTATTACCTTCCGAGTTTTAAATAAAAAGCAATAGGATTGATGTTGTAGTATACTCATGGTTCCAGAAACAGAGACTAGTAAGTTAGCCTGTGTAAAACAAAATTAAAACCCTCTTAGTACCAGAACCTCAGTAGGCACCAATGAAGTGGCCTATGTTCTTGTGTTGATTTTTCTTTTCCCTTTGTTGACATATTCAGATGGTTATACTCAATGTACTGTAATAATAACAAAAGAAAATGTTCTGAGATAATTTGCTTGTATGTTGGTAGCTGAGAAAAGCATCATTGAATTAGAATCGACACCCAGGTATAGTAGTAGTCCTTTGGGGCTTTGGAAGAAGATGCAAGAAAGTATTTGTCAATGGTTGCAATATTTATTTTCTGCATGGTTCATACTCAAATGTTCACAACTACAATGCATCTGACTGCAATAGTGTGCTAGTAATTTATGTCAGTGGTCACCTTGCTCACAGTGAAGGCAGAAATGCTCTCTCCAGGGAGTAGATGTAAAGTACTTGTATATAGAATTCAGAACTGAAGATATTTATTAAAAGTTGATTTTTTTCTTGATAGTATTTTTATGTACTAAATATTTACGCTAATATCAAAATGACATATTTTGGTAAACTAGAGAGACATAATTAGAAATGCACATTTTTGTGTGTGGCGGAGAAATTTAAACAACAGCCAAATCAAAGAACTGAAATTAAACAAATTTGATGTCATGCCAACTTTTTGCCTTTTTAAAGTAATTGATACAAAGTTAACGATTCGTTCCCTTGTGATGAAACATAAAACAGTATAGACTCAGATAGCTGTTTAATGAAATAGTGAATTAGAAACATTTTTTTTAAGTTTATGCAAGAGATAAATACTTAAGAGAAAAAAAAAGTGTTGTGAGCATAATGTTTTTGAGGTCAGTTCCTGAACTGTCTAAAACTTATATTATGCAAACAATAGAGATGCTAACCTCTCCAAGCACAGAATGTGCAAGGACTTTTGCCTTTTAACCATGGTAAACTCACAGCTTCACCTATTGACTCTATACCTCTAAAGAATCGCTGCTACATTGTGCAAGACTTTTAAAGTTTAAATGAATTAGCTGAATTCCAGATAGTAAAACAATCTCTGAGCCTCAAGTAGAAGTCATTTTTTTTTTCCTCAAAGTTACCCCAGTATGAAACTCTCTAGTTTCCTTGCATATGTATGCATCTGGTCTACAGGAGAATGCAGAGAAAGATGATCACACACATACACCTCCCATAACGATGTACATATTTGTCACACTTCTGATCTTTGAGCTTCCTTTTCTACTAAGCTAAAAATTACGTTTTATCAAAGTGTACACTACTGATGCTGTTTGTTGTATTGGGAACACGTAGCAATAAAAATGTCAACAAAATATAGACCTGGCTCTATCTAGATTTTATCATTAGATTCATCACTGATTAATGGAAACTTTTCTTTCCTCCTTCAAAGTTGAAATAGTGTCATATTCATTAGCTACTTGGAATTTCTCTGACGAGGCTCAAATAAAGTGATAGTGTCTCCTATCCTCACACCAGGATGTATCATATATTTTTTTAATTAAGAAAAAGAGAGACTATGCGTGGTGGCTTTTTGCTTAAATCCATCCCACAGAACCATGAAGATGCAGAGAGGAAAGGGCAATAATGCTACAACGTATGAAGAGTTTAAAAAGGGGGACTTCATTCTTTCAAATGTGCAATCCCAGAGTGGTTTTTTTTTAATTTTTATTTATTTATGATAGTCACAGAGAGAGAGGCAGAGACATAGGCAGAGGGAGAAGCAGGCTCCATGCACCGGGAGCCCGACGTGGGATTCGATCCTCGGTCTCCAGGATCGCGCCCTGGGCCAAAGGCAGCGGCCAAACTGCTGCGCCACCCTGGGATCCCCCCAGAGTGGTTTTTAAAGAAAAGCTGTCCAGCAGCTTTTGACCCTGATTACCTGAGGATTGCTTGGGAATACCTAACACATGACCTGGGAGTGTGGACAGAAATGGGGCATCAGGGCAGTGGGAGGGCGGGGTGGTGGTGGTTTCCATTATATCACATAGAGGAACTATATTGCCATGGTTATTACCAGTTTAAAGAGCAAAGGCAGACCAGCTCCAATTTGAAGTGCACCTGTACCTTTATACCTGAATGACCCTCGGTAACCAGACTGAATGTCAGTTTCCTCATCTGTAAAGTGGTAAAGGCAGAAATATCAAACATCATTGCATAATTGTGGTGAGGAACGAGAAAGTAAAGTTGCTAGCACAGGGCTGAACACAGTGTAGCTCTCAATAGATATTAAATATATTCATCGTCCTTAGAGTGTCCCCATCCTCCTCCCCCTCATTTATTATGTGACCAAACCACAGCTTTCCGATAGGGGCCACAGCTAGTTGAATCATGGTCACTAAGTCTCATGAATGGTGGTAAAGAACATAATTTCAGGAATCAAAAGATAAGCACTTTAGGCTTAAAAATCAATAGGAGGGATAGACTCATTAGAAATGATATCCAGTCATCAGTTTTGAAAATTTTAGTTAATCCTGCCCAATCTCCCTTCACATGCAACAAGTCATCAAACTAAAGAATGAATAGCCAAACTATTAATTCTGTACTTCTGCAAAAAATGGCCAGTGATGAAATAATGCTCCAAATTATTACCAAATAAAATGTTTTTCACTTGTTTACATTAATACACTTTGCAGAAATATCAAGCCATTCCTAATTAAACATAGTTTACTTGTCATGAATAAGCTGCTTAAATATATGATATTAAAAAAAATCACTTGAAAAATTTGAAGCATGGACAACCAAAAAGGACATCACTTGTTACAAAAGTATTAAAGAGAAAGGTAATAGTTAAACTACTTGAAATGCAATAAAATATAAAACCACCCAGGGGTGCATAGGCATTATCGACACATCAAATGGTGTTAGAAAATATTTGTTTTGGGCCCCAATACTTAAGGAAATTTACTTAGAGCTAGAGATAATATTTAAAAATCAATTAAAGGGATCCCTGGGTGGCGCAGCGGTTTAGCGCCTGCCTTTGGCCCAGGGCGCGATCCTGGAGATCCGGGATTGAATCCCATATCGGGCTTCCGGTGCATGGAGCCTGCTTCTCCCTCTGCCTGTGTCTCTGCCTCTCTCTCTCATTCTGTGTGACTATCATAAATAAATAAACATTTAAAAAAATAAAAATCAATTAAAATATCACCTACCAAGCAAAGAAAGCATAATCAAAAATGAATTTGTCATCAAAAACACAAATTCTAAAACAAAACAAAACGCTGTAAATTTCTGCAAAATCATCAGAGAGTTCACCTAGGTATTAGAATTACTCCCCAAATTCCCCCATCTTGATAAGCGACAAGAGCATGAAAAGTTGCCCATCTACTTCACAGCAATGCTAAGGTTCCCTGTAGGAGAGCTGAGGACACTGACTCCACTTTGGCCCTCCACCTCCTTCTCCCCTCTGACGCACAGATGGCACCACTTCTGTTAACTACCCTGAGACCTCGGCACTGTGCTCCTCCCTCCATAAAAGCTGGGGACGAAAGTACAGACGGAGGCAGCGAGGCTGTTTCACGTAGGCCATCTAGCAGTCCCGTGGGTGTTTTTAGGGCAACCCATACTCAAGCACTGGTCAGAAATGCTCCAAAGACCTGGCCAAGCCTCCCCACCTGGTGGTGCCTGGCCAGCGTGGGACCTCTCCGCAGAAGCAGGGCTTTGTGGCTCAGCCTTGTCACTCATGCTTGTTTCTTTTTCGGTATCCAGTGGAATAACCAATCGTTCAAAGGTGGAGGAGGGTCAGTAATGTCTCCTCTAGACTGAGAAGGCACTGAAATCCCAGAAAAAGAGCAAGCCATTCCATACCATGCACAGTTTTAGTCAGGGTAACTCACAGACCTGGGCAATCTGGCAGGGGTGGACCACCGGACGACCCAGGCCGTACTCCTCCTCTCTGCCTCTGTCCAAGAGGGCCGAGTAGGGGCAGCAGTTCAGGTGTTCTGACTGTGGGATCCTAGGATGCTGCTGCTGAAGACTGTGTCCTACCGTCAGCCCTGGGGGCACAGCATGGGACCTCAGTGTCTGTCCTTTCCCTGGGCTTGGTTAGCCCAGTAGTCTCTTGGTGGCTGACTTTAGGAAAGCCTAAAGAATCTGTCAAAAGAGAAATAGAAAAAAAAAAAAAAAAGAAAAACAAAAACAAAAACAAAAAAGAAATAGACGGGTTGGAAAACAGGGAAAAACAAAGGATGTTGCCGATAATAAAATGGAAAGGGGGCCCGTCTCATAAACAGTGGCGAGAGCTAATATTATTTGGGACCCTGAGAGAAAATATAGACCAACAATCTGAACTGGACTTGCTGAGCCTGTGGAAGACATTACCTAAAGGAAAGCAGTTTACTCCCTTGGAAGAAGTCTCAAAAAGCCAGGGGTTTCTCAGAGTGTCCCTCCAATAGGGAGGAATTTCAGGGGTGGATACCCCTCCCACTAGAGACTGGGAGTTAGGCCAATGTCGTCCTCTAGTGCAGGGGCAATAGGGGGCAACCGAGGCCCAATTGTGAATTAACCATTTATTGGTCTAGCGCTAACCTACTGACCATATGAGCTCTAATGAAGAGTGGGGCAACATGCACATTTATCTTTGGAGGCCCCCCTCAAAATTTCAGGGAGGCCTAAAGGCTGTTTATGGTTATAGGGAAAGATGAGCAAGGTCAAACTAATATCTACATGTAGATTGGTAGGCTGCCTCCCTGCTGTTTTGTTGTGCGTATTTCCCTCATTCCAGAGTATAATTTGGGCACAGATGTCGTTCAGGATCTGGACCTAACTACAATGACAGCCAAATTCAAGTTGGGTATTTGAGTGGCAAAACCCATCATGTAGGTCGTGCAAGATGGGAACGTAAGCAGCTGCTGGTCCCCCCAGAGACTAATACAAGTACAAGCCCTGGGGTATTAATGTCAGGTCAGAGGTGCGCTGTGAATTTTATATAAGTTCATATCCAGAAGGGTTTGGCTGGGGCTTGTGGCAATGACAAAATGGGAAGTCGAGTATAGTTTTTTTTTTCAAGTTTTTACTTTAATTCCAGTTAATTAACACACAGTAGTGTATTAGTTTCAGGTGTACAATTTAGTGATTCAACACTTCCATACAAGACCAAGTGCCCATCACAAGTACACTCCTTAATCCCCATCACCTATTTTGCCCATCTCCCCTGCCCCTTCCCCTCTAGGTTCGATAAGAATCTGTCCTCCTTATAACATCACTAGAAACATGGGGTGCATTACCAAGGCTTTGGGTGGAATGTCCTATTTGAGAAAGACATGCATAGGCTCAGATAAGACCAGACAGCTTTAAGGAACTGAGGTTGAGTTTATGGACCCAAAGAAGCTCCTGGGGAAAAATCAGCCTGATGTCTTGCTTACAGAGTTCCTGAGAATCCTACCAAGTGAATAAGGAAAGTCACATCCTGCCAAGTTTGGGAATCTCAGGATATTTGGGGCACTCAAGAAAAGAGGAAATAACCTGAATCCGTAGGTATTGCAGGTGAGTCTGATTTGGCTTAGCTCTTAACCCTGAACGATTGTTAAAGGCTTAATCTGAAATTCCTTATGAGTTCCAGTGTCATGAGCATGCTATGAAGGCGTCACACACGAATTATGTCTTTCCATAATGTCCATTTTATTCAATAATAAAGCAAGGATAAACTAATTGTCAAGCCCGTTCAGGATTCCAAACCCAATGACCTTGCACCATGTGTTTAACTTGGCTTCTTACACATCACACAAAACAAAGCGTTAAGTCCCACAATAAACAAGATAGAACAAGGAATAGGAAGTTAATGAACCAAACATGAAGTCAGTCTGTGAGCACACAGCTGGGATGAGGGCTTCATCTGCTCGAAGTCAGCTATTGGCATTTGCTGTTTATCCCCTTTAAGTAGTGAAGGATCTCTGTTCCACTCAGAGGTCACTCAGGGACTTAGGCAGCAGTTGCCTTTTTGATGTGGTCAGATGTGAAAGGGTAGGTGTCTAGAAAGTCTGACCATTTGCTGCAAAAATCCTTTCCTTTTAAAGGATTATAATCAGTCTTGGACCTTTGTGGACCTCCTCTGGTTCCGCTGGTTCTCGGTTCTGTGTATATTGTCAGCCTATGTTGGTGTCAACCATACTTGGACCGTTGGCTGCTTGCATCACTGCTTGACATGTGTGACTCTATTTTGCTCTCTACATTTCACCCTATGATTCCTCATGACTAATCTGGAAGGGTCATGCAGGAATCAAGTATGTCTTAAACCAGATCAACGATGCTATTCTGCTAATGTGGATAAAGGCAAAGCTAGGTCATTTAATCATGTTTTCAACAACAACAAAAAAATCAAATAAAATCAAATCTCAAATCCTAGGAAAT